AAGTACCATCTTTTAACGTCTTTTGGTAGGATGCAACCGAGGTTTGAACCACCGACCCTCTGCTCTCTGGGCAGACGCTCTATCCACTACACCACGGAAGCGGTCGGAGAGCTAAGCAGTAACTATTATTTCAACTTCCTGATTTTTAATCAGTATGTATGTATGTGTGTGTGTGTGTGTGTGTGTGTGTGTGTGTGTGTGTGTGTGTGTGTGTGTGTGTGTGTGTGTGTGTATCTATGTATGTATGTATGTTGTTTAACGCCGCACTCAGCAATATTCCAGCTATATGACGGCGGTCTGTAAATAATCGAGTCTGGACCAGACAATCCAGTGATTGACATCATGAGCATCGATCCACGCAATTGGGAACGATGACATGTATCAACCAAGTCAGCGAGCCTGACCACCCGATCCCGTTAGTCGTTTCTTACGACAAGCATAGTCGTTTCTTACGGCAAGTATGGGTTGCTAAAGACCTATTCTACCCTTTAATCAGTGGAGGTGGTCACCAAGGAAAACAGAAAGCGTACACTATAGTACCCAATCCCCACCCCCACGGCGACCTTGCATGGGGTCGGATACTTAGATGACCACCTTAAACTCAAGTTTCTCCCTAACGGTAAAGTTTCCTCAGTTCATGTTTACAAAGCTGTGTATATTTCTCCATAGATTATAGAGAGGTTTGTTGAACATTGTTGAAAATTGTTCAAGATATTTGTCAAGAGAGGGAAGGTGATGCACTTTCTATCAACCTTAACTTCTCGATTGGATCATCTTCTGGCCCAATACAGCAAAACGAAGGTTGAAATTTGATATATGGACAATCTCATTAAAATCAGATCTTAGTTCTCGCTACCGCTAAACAAAGATCTGAGGACATCCCATTGCGGGTCACGTCAGACCGATCTTCCGCGAACTTTGACCGACCAATGGAATGACTGGCAAGAATTCGACAATAGCCAATCAGAAGGCAGCTTAATCGACTTCAGACCCTGCTTATTTCAATGATAAGTCACAGCGAAACATTCAGCTCACCTTTTTTTAAGGATATACCTCGATATGCCCGATATGCATCAACCAAGGCAGCGTGCCTGACCACCCGATTCCGTTAGTCGCCTCTAACGACAAGCAAAGCTGTTTTTGTACGGCAAGCATGGGTTGCTGAGAACCTATTCTACCCCGGAAGGACCCACAACAAGAGATTTCACTTTAACGCAATTTGTCAATGGGACACTCAGAACATATGAATCAACCCTCGAATGTACTGCTCCGCCGTCCAACTTTCACTGTAGTTACTCATACACGTGTTCGAAATAGACATCGGCCCGTAGGCCCGAGGCCGACAGATTTGTTCTCGGGCTGATAATTTTAAATTTCAGCAGGCCCTTAAGGCCTGAACTTTATTTAAGTATTTTTTATTAGGCATTATTTAAGTAATGTAATAAACATAACTTTCATATTTATTAACAGTAGGATTAAACCTTTCAAATAATGTATGACATGTAGTCGAAAAGATGATAATTTCCTGGTAAATGTATAGACTTCATCTATCACGCCGAGTCTCTGGCAACTCAGTGTGATAGAAAAGTTTGTGGTTGACTGGATGTGTTTTGTAATTTATATTGCAAAGGTATGTCGCCCTGCTTCAGCGAAATGTTTGAGCCTACAGTTTTTTCCATTAGGCCTACAGTTTTTTTTAAATGTGCTAGCCCTTCAGGCTCTCAGTGTACTCTGCTCAGTTGCAGACACTGCTAATACATGCATTATTCTCCACTATGTTCTGCTGCTCAATGCTCGGGCCTTTGTTTTTGATCACACGAATCCCTCAAACTACATCAAAGCTGGACATTAAAGCTCTTCATGCGTTTAACAACCAAAAACAATAAATTGTGAAAACTGAGCATGTCACACTAAACGTTCAGCTAAAAAAACATCGTTGTGAAATCCACAACCACGGCGAGCCGAGCAAACATCAAAAGCAGCGTGGGTTAAATGGAATTACATTTGCTGTGGTAATCGCCTTTCAACTGATTTTGCATATTCTCTTGGGTCCGCTGTGCGTCCTCTAATACACCTAGTCCAACCGCTCTTATGCTCCCATACACAAAGACACATCAATATTTTAAACACAAAAGCAATTTGCTTTTCAATCTATTATTTTCTGAATTCGAGACGTGAGTTGTATATTATATAACACATTGACAAACGCATCCATGCCGAACCTTCGGCTCATCTCCAATATGACCTCGCAGGAGTGAGTGAGTTGGGTTTAACGCCGCTTTTAACATTATTCCAGTTATATCACGGCGTGTCAGCTTAATGTGGGAGGAAAGCCCAAAGTGATGCAGGTCTCAGACGTTTACCACTTCGGTGAAACCAACGAGAACGTGTATGGTGCTGACAAACCTAGAAACATAATCGGGGCGAACCTGGATTCAAACCCACAATCATAGGTTTCTGGCGTGCCCAAGGGACGCAACTCTGCACAACGAATCGCGGCGCCCTAGACGACTTGGCCACCCGTACCCCCCAGCTCGAGCAGGAAGTTGTATCAGTGACTATCAATAGTTGTATAAGTTGTATACTTCATTATGGGTGAGGTGAGGTGATTTTGCACTTATATATAGCTACGTGCATGCACGTGTGTACGTGTTTGTGTGTGTGTGTGCGAGCGCGCGTGTTGCTGCTAATATTAGTAACCAAGTTCGTCTTTCCTTGACTATCGTATAAATACCAGACATGATAACACTTTTTGGGAAATCGGGTACCCGGCATGCACATCAAACGCAACCATTATTTAAAACTCTCATCATTGCATTGATATGTTGGTTGGTTGGTTTGTTGTTTAACGCCGCACTCAGCAATATTCCAGCTATATGACGGCGGTCTGTAAATAATCGAGTCTGGACCAGACAATCCAGTGATTGATATCATGAGCATCAATCCACGCATTTGGGATCGATGACATGCATCAACCAAGTCAGCGATACTGACCACCCGATCCATATAATCGCCTCTTACGACAAGCATAGTCGCCTTTTACAGCAAGCATGGGTTACTGAAGAGTTACTGATGGGTTACTGGTGTTCTTGCCCCGGGACATGCATTTCATAACCCAAATCGGCAAAGTGCGAGGTGCACGTGCGAATGGCTCGGGGAACACATTTCACGTGCTTCACACGCAGGGCCGACTCGGACCACTCGGACCCCAGTGTCTAATAGTTGAAACGGTTTAACCAACCATTTCAACGATTAGACACTGGGTCCGAGTGGTCTGACATTTTCATAGATAATGTCTGTAATAGTATACTATTAGCACCTGTTTACAAGGATGCAAATTTGATACAATTTGGATCAGCATAATAGTAATCTTGTAGATGCTTTTGTTTTAATGGTGTATATATTGGTTACACAAAGGAATATTCGTCTTCAGTATTATTTAGGCTGCATATTCGGTTTCCTCGTTAAATACCAATATATCGTCCAGTTTCAATATATAAATTCATATATAAGATATTCCACAAGTTGGGTATTTAAAGAGACATTAACACGACAGGATATACTGAAGGTTTAGAAAACTCGATATTTCATGTAGTCCCAATGACGTGGGGGGGCTCCGTCGTTCTTCCAGGTTTTAGTGGCGAATCAGTGTGGGAGTGTGAGGAGGAGTTGAGTGGCGTGAAGCAGGTCGGTCTGTCAGTGCTCACAGATCCGCTCTGGAATGAACAGTTACTGTGTAAATGCAGAAAAAGAGGTCTCCCTCTCATCCATGCTGAAGACGTATTTTATGACTCTTCCAACACAAACTGAGGCATTTCAGAAACGTGGTATTTTATGCTACCGCTCAAGACACTTCTTCAAACCATCGTGTTATGTACATATACGAAAATAAGCTACAAAGTTGAGCCTATTTACCATTTCTTCGAAACATTCTTAAAATTATCAACGATAAAACAAACTGTTTACATATACATCTCGGTATCCCAGAACTATATACACAGGTGTAAACTCAATAAATTCTTACAAACATACACGTGAGTGAGTGAGTGAGTGAGTGAGTTTAATGCCGTGGCTGGGTTGTCACAACGAATCAGGATCACCAAAAATATAAATCTCCCGGGGATAATACACATTCATGGGGAGGTCATGATAAAATGGACATTTTATTATTATGATAGTGAAGTGTTTTTCAGAAAAGGTCATGAAGAAATGCATAAGGACATGGTCCATCCCAAAAATATAACAAGCATTAGGAGAGGTACGTTATTTTTAGTACATTAGTGCACCAAAACCTCCCCCTCACTGATTTGGTTAGAAATCATACTTATGCAAAGCACTGTTGAAATCACCATTAAATGAAGTCATATGCCAGAAAGCAGACTGATTTCCGTCTAGTCATGTGACTTTGGACCTACATTATTATAACTGGTGGTGAGTATGGTTTTACGCCGCTTTTAGCAATATTCCTGCAATATCACGGCGGGGGACACCAGAAATGGGCTTCACACATTGTACCCATGTCGGGAATCGAACCCGGGTCTTTGGCGTGACGAGCGAACGCTTTAACCACTATGCTACCCGACCGCCCCCATTATTATAACTGATTGGGCTGGTTGTTGAGTGAAGTAGTTGGGTTTAATGCCGCTTTTAACAGTATTCCAGTTATATCACAGCATGTCAGCTGAAAGCCCGAAGTGATGCAGGTCTCGGAGGATGTTTACCACTTTGGTCCCATGGGACCCAACTCCGCACAGCGAATTGCTGCGCCTTTGACGACTGGGTCACCCGTGCCCCCAGCTGGCTGTTGAAACACGGACTACTGGATGTCAATTAGATGGCACACTGACATCATGGCCCGTTCCTCAAAGTGTGCGCTACATTTGTCAAGTCTGGTCAAGTATTGGAGTTAACATTGTAACACTAAGATGCTTTTACCCTGACCGATAATTAGTCTTTGCATCAACTGTACTTGTCTGTAGAACTTGTGAAAACAAAACAACTTCTTTTTAAATTTATTCATTTTTATGCAAAGTTTGAATTGCATAAAACAGAACATTCTTTGAACAATGTATAAGTAATATATATGATGGAAAAACAAGAAGTCATTAAATAACAAGAACTTAAATAACTCATGCTGCACAAACTTGTATCACAGATAAATATGGATGGAATGTTTCACGAGACACCCTGAAATAGTCTCAATGTACATGTGATTCTTTAATTTCCTCCTCAAATTATCATGAAGCTCGGTCTCATTAAAAATGAATATGAACACTGTAAGTTACTATGACGAATGACAAAATTATATCATGAATAAGAAATAAAAGAAAGGGGTGCATTAGTATGCTTTAGTATCACACTCCCATCTTAACTGAAGACTTCAATGCTTTAAGTTTATAGAACTTCATAGGACAAAAGCTCACATTAGCATCAACAATATGTGCATTAAGATTGTTTCTGATGAAGCTGATTACACACATCTTCAGCATCTCTGGACTGACAGATACTGATTTAAATACAATACTGTTTTCATGTATCACCTTTATTTATTCTCTTTATGTAACATATATAGGAGGGCAATATTCTCTATTGCTTCATCACTAAGTATCTCCAAGATGCAGTTTCCAGTGAATAGTTTCATCAATACTAAAACACAAGCTTTATTTTGTGGTCATGGTAAAAACCGAGACATAATAATTTTAAAAATTCCATTAAAATTTTTCTACTTACATGTTGGTATTTTTGTATATTATTCTTTTACATTATGATGTTCAGTGTCTCAGCTTTGTCCCTTTGTCCATATACTAGCAAAAATAAGTAACTGTGCATTATGCTTATTCATCATATACCATAGAGCTAGTGCTTTTACAAGTTACTCAAACCTCATTTAATCTTTAAAAATATACCATTTAAAACTGATTAGGCATTCACTGGACTGAAAGTAAACTTTGGGATCTTTTTGAAAAAAGAATGATTTTAATTCAACACATATGTTGCCTTTTAACATATTGGTGGTAACAATTGGAATGGTAACATGGCTTGTTATTTACACCATTATGCACAAAAACGACTTCAGGAGACTTGGACAATCTGTAAAAGTCTTCATACCAAGATGGAGGAACGACAAATCTTCAAAGTCATATAGTTTAAAATTACTAGTAGTTACTAGCAAGTAGTGATGAATTCACATGAGCTCAGTTATCGTTTCTCGCAAATGTTCAGCCCACTACTGTACTCTGAGTACCCCATGGTTAGATTGTGTTTAAGAGTGATACAGTAATACTGATGAAAGGTCTTCAGATGCCCAGATCGAAGTCATCGCTGCTTTCCTTGGGTGGCGCGCTTGATACATTATCTAACTGGCTGGCTAGAGAGGCCTTGATTACCCCATTCAGAGCTGCAACCTGAGGAAGAGAACGATAGGATGTTATTGGTAAACAAGACAGAAGGCAATAGTTGTAATAACTGTTTGCCATTGTCAGCAATATTCCAGCTATATCACGGAAGCAATAAAATAACTGATAGGATACACAAGGAAAATAATCTGGGATTTAAGCCTTCACCTCTAAGATCAAAGATCAGATCTGAGGCAAATCTGGCTTTGAACCTGAGATTAGCATATCCTAGTACTCTCCAGCACATAGAGTTGCAGCACCTTAGACCACTGGGCCATCCATGCCCCTTGAGGGTTTTTTCAAGTCTGGACCAGAGAAACCAGTGTATGATTTACTGAGCATTGTCCCTCAGAATTGGTATGAAACAAGTTAATGAGCCTGACCACCGATTCATGTAGTTGCCTCTTACAACAAGAATAGGTTGGGGATGAATATGCATTCCTGATGGGCTGCCCCTTGAGTAAAAGAAGATGCTTAAGACTCACCTGATCGACTGGAGGCATGGGCATACACCTGAGCTGGTAGACTGTCACTTGGCCTTCGCTGTCTCCCACCAGAATACACTGCAGTAGAAACATCAGTTGTAGGCTAGCAGTACCAGTAACCAACACTCACAGTCATGTAGAAGACACATTTGGTTTATATTTTTAAAAACACCTTTAGAAAACAACAGCTTTGCATAACATAATTGCATGTTAAATAAAAATGCAAAAGATTTGGTTTGGATTTCTTAGGCAACAGTGAGATTCTTACCTCTGAGTTTTTGGCAAACGTGACAGATACTTGTTTGGTGTCCGTTGTAGGGTTGTTGATTATCACAGGGTCTAAACTGTAATGCAGAACACATGAAAGTGGTAACTCATATAACAGGGACAAAGAAGCACAGAGTTTTTAGTGAGTGAGAGAGTGAGTTTCCGTTGTCACAGAGTTAATATAGGAGGAAGCCGCAGTAGTCCTACATAATTCCTTCTTGGCTGAGGTGAAATGGGGTTTCATGTCATGCTTAAGACTATTGCACTTGTATAATGATGCACCTACATGTGTGTGGCTTCTTGAACTAGTCTGGAAGTAATGTCTGTTTTATAGTGTTAGGCCAGAAACATACCATTCCGCAGTTTAACATGGCTACACCACTCAGACACAGCACACTGTTGAGTCCTTGTTTTATCCCCTTAATGCCAAATGCCAAGCAGGGTAATAACAGGTACCATATTTTAACATATTTTGGTATAACATGGCCTGGAGATTGAACCAACTGCAGACACTCTACTGACTAAACCATGGATTTCTCTTTCATGAAACACATCGGCATGGTCATGGTGCTTACAGACTAATGATAAAAATTGTGAGCAATCTGGAATTTGCATGCACAATCATTGGATCCTGGCACAGATAAGAAATGCAACTCTGTTGAAGGTGATGCTTCAACTTTGACAACTCAGCCACATGTGCCCCTTATTTTAAGTGAGTGAGTTGGGTTTGAAACCACTTTGAACAGTATTCCAGTCATATCATATCCGGTCAGCTTAATGTGGGAGTAAAGCCTAAAGTGATGCAGGTCTCAGACATTTACTACCTTGGTGAAACCCATGAGCACGGGTTTGGTGCTCACAAACCTAAAACATAATGCCCTTAATTTTGAGGTACATATCATCAGTAGACTTAAGTTTGGGCTTAACATCCCCAATCTAATGTGAATACTACACAAACAGCACCTCACATATGTTAACAATATTTTAACTTGTCACAGTGAGAGAAACAGTAACAAGGGCCACAACTCACGTGCTGACATTGAGGTCCCACACTTCCACCGCACCCTCATTGACACAAGCAAACACTGTGGATGACCTCGGAGACCATGATATGTCATTTACAGCTTTCTGAAAGTACAAACATAAGGTTCTCATTGAACCAAAAACACACTGTCACATTTAGAGCTTGAATTTTCTTTGGACAGACCAGGATCTTTGTTGAATCATATAGTTTTCATATATATCCCATATGAACTTCTAATTGGGCCTGGCTAGAAGGAAAATCGTAAATCTGAATTTTTAAAATTAAAAATATTTCACAGAGGACTCGAATTAGTCATAAGATGGAGTGAACATACTGTAGACGAGAGGAAGGTGAGGATTGGCTTCTGCTGGTCCTGGTGCCACAGTCTGATGCTCCAATCAGCACTGCAACTCAGGAAGATGTCTGGCACGAAAGGTGACCACTGGATCTTGTACACTGGGCTCTGGAACATACACCAACATACACTGGTTGTGTCAGCAATACTGGATTGTACACACAATTAGTCCCACGAATCACCCTCTATCGTTGGCCAACAATACTGGACTATGTACACAATATATCAAGCCAGTGAATGAGTCAGTGAGTGAACAGTAAAACAGTTACATCCAGGTAAAATTCGGGAGATCATTTCAACCAACAAGCATCATCTCAAAACTGGGCAATGATCTGCTCCAAAAGCCCAAGTACAGGGTTAATAAACAGAATCAAACACTCACTGTATGTCCGGAGTAGCTCTCCAGGTACTGCTCATTATAGGAACAGGAACACTTGTGTATGTGGCCCTCCTCTGTACCAGCAAGGTAGCTGAAAGATGCACCGAGAATGATTTCACAATTATTGAGCAGTGTTCATCCTATCCTTTCACCTAATAGTGAATAAGTTAGGTTTAACGCGGCTTTTAACAGTGTTCCAGTTAAATCACTTTGTGTCAATTTGATGTGAAAGGAAAGCTTGAAGAGATGCAGGTCTTAGAACTTTACCAGATTGGTTAAACCCGCAAGCATGGATGCTGACAAACAGAGAGACATCATCAGGACGAAGCTGGGATTCAAACCCATGATAGTATGTTTCTGACACACGTGAAGGGAAGCAACTCTGCCCAGTGAACTGCAGCACCTTATTTTGACTCATCTCAGAACACTTACATATTGGTGTCTCTTGAGTGGAAGTCAAAACAGAGTCCGCCAGCTTGTCGGGAGATAAATGCTTCCCCTTTCTTCTCTCTTGTCTTGCCTCCAATTCTGGTGGTCACTCTCTTCAAACGCATCAAATCTGAAGCAACCTCATTGTGTTAAGTTCACATAGCTAAAACCTTTCTTTATAACGCACTAATAATTAGGATTTGAATTTGAAATAAAAAGTGAGGTGAAATTGGGTTTAACGTCGCATCCAAGATTATTGCACTTATATAGCGACGTGCATGCATGTGTGTGTGTGTGGCTACTTGTACTAGTCCGGACTGATGCCGATTTATAGTGCTAGCTCACTGAGATACCATGCCGCAGTTTAACATGAATACCCCACTCAGACACAGTATACTGACTCCGAGCCGACCAGTCCTTGTTTTAGCCCCTTAATGTCGAGCGCCAGACAGGGTAACAACAAGTACCATCTTTTAACGTCTTTTGGTATGATGCGGCCGGGGATCGAACCCCGGACCTTCTGGTCTCCAGGCGGATGCTCTACCACAAGACCACGGAGGCGGCACGAATTTGAAATAAAAACTCAGTCATACCCATGCCACAGCGTTAATGCATTGGTGCCAAAAACGAGAGAGTGAGTGAGTATGGTTTGACGCCGCTTTTAGCAATATTCCAGAAATATCACGACGGGGGACACCAGAAATGGGCTTCACACATTGTACCCATGTCGGGAATCGAACCCGGGTCTTTGGCGTGACGAGCGAATGCTTTAACCACCAGATATTTTCAACAACAACATTTGGTACAGTACATGTACTTATCAAAGGTATTACCTATGATAACAAATGATTAATTGTTGTTTTCTTATTGTCGTGTGGGTAGATGTTTCTCACAATATCATACATGAAAATTAGATCAGGTGAGGCGAAATGGAATTTAACATCGCGTCCAAGATTATTGCACTTATATAGCAACGTGTGCGTGCGCTTGTGCTAGTCCGGACTGATGCCGATTTATAGTGCTAGCCCACTGAGATACCATGCCACAGTTTAACCTGAATACCCCAATGTATACTGACTCCGAGCCAACCAGTCCTTGTCTGAGCCCCTTGAACAGGCAGGGTAACAACAAGTTTTAACGTCTTTTGGTATGAGGCGGCCGGGGATCGAACCCCGGACCTTCCGCTCTCCCGGCAGACGCTCTACCACTAGACCACGAAGACCACGGTCTAGATGAAAATTGAATAAACACAGCAGTATGACTGAGTGAGTTGGGTTTCATACCGCTCTGAACAGTATTTCTGTTATATCACAGATGGTGCCACCACACATAGAATGCATGCTTATAAGCTTAGGGCCCAATATTTTATTGATTGTCACTCTTTGCAAGAAAAACAGATGAAAAATCGATTCCAACATTGAAATAGTGGCATCCGAATACTAGAAAAAAATGTCATGGCATCCAGCGTACTTCACTGCAGCATCCTGAATACCAATTAACAGGGCTCTAATTCTCGTTTTCTAGTTCTACTTTCAACTAACAGATCGGACTATATACTGACCATAGTTTTCGAAACCCTTCCTGATTGACCACTGTGTGACCCGTCCATCTGTGGAGATGGACACAATGACCTCTGCCCTCTCGTCTCCGGACCCTCGCTCCTTCTCAATCCACCTGATCTGCCAGACTGGCGCTGTGTGTTTACCCGATGACCCGCTGTAAGCCAAATAATATATCGATATATATATGGTTGAACAATGTATTGATACATCACCCATTTACACCTGGTGATATATACACACAATGCCTACCCATGTATCAATCCGTGATTTCAAACAGTAGTATCGTGTTGTGACAGTACTATCCCCTTGTTGTCAACACCATACCCATGTTATCCCACTCATAAATGCAATTGTTGTTACTGTTAATCCTCTACTGTTAATCCTCCACCTACTATATATATTCTGTACTAAGTCCCTCATTCAGTCTTGCTTGACAACGGTATAAGGATCTTTACCGAAACGACGTTTTTTACAGTATTAAAGAAGTTGTTATCCATAAAATTGTGTCTACCTAGTAGTATTGACAAAGTTTTGCAATATACTGACCTGATGACTACCTATATATTTACTCACCACACCACAAAATAAATAAACCTGATTACATTGTGCTAACCACGTCTGCTAACAGTTCAAGCCTAAATTGATCAGTCCTGTGAGTTTAATATAGATTAAGAAGGCAACAACAAGTTGTCGTCTAGGTCGTAAGCATGATATGTACAGAGTTGCCATTTACCTGATAGTAAAAGTTATAATCAACAAGGAAGTGTCATTAGTCCTTCCTGAATTCTAATCAGCCTCAGTCTAGCAGATTTATATTATTTTGGACCATGGTAAGACAGCAGGGAGTTTTTTTTACGAAAATACTTGGCAATATATGAACTTATTATGTTTCAAAGTGAGATTGTCCAATCACAGTGCAGAACTAACCCCATATAAATATTGTATGCTGTCAGGAAAAATCAAGGATGGTTCTTACTGACCTAACAGGAGGCCATATAAGAAATTCATGTTGGTGATTTTTTTATATAAAGATCAAGATAATTTTTCAACAAGGTTGAGCCTCTAAGGTTTGAAGAGTAGTCTCCCTTTGACCCTTAACGTCAACAGCTGTAAGAGTCAAGGTTCCATTTGACCTGACATGCAATAAAGATACGAGTCGGTGAAAACATTTCAGCATAATAAATTCGTAATGGTGTCTTTCATTGTCATAAACGGTGTCATATTAGGTTAGAAGAAAAATATATGACAATGAAAGACACCATAACTAATAACATTTATGTTAAACTCACAAATTATCCACAATTGGTTCATCTTTCATGTGTCGGACATTGTAGATAGCCACTCCACCATCATACATTCCAACCTGGAGCAGAATATAAGCATGAAAAACATAAGAAAAACTTAAAACATGACAAAACACACAATAACTTTGATACATAACACTTGAACAGAAAATACAAATAAATATTAGACTACAAACAATCGTTCATATTCTCCCGACCCTGATAAACATTAAATCCAAAACAAATAAACTTCAGACCATTTTAAGTCTCCCCTTTTCCAAAATGGCATTGCTTAAGAAGCCATTGTATTTATGATTTGAAGGATTTTGGACCAGATTTTTTCTAGACAAGGCATAAATAAGGAACATTACATGGCCTAAATGCAACATGTTTCTCATTACCAAACTGATAATGCTCATAAAAGACAGAGATTATATAGGCAGACGTGTATTCCTATTGGGCCTGGTTTATTGCATATCACATCCTTGCCTAAAGTACTCTGGGTAGGCTTATTACTCACCGCTAGTAAGTTAGGGTTTGCTGTAGAGAAATCCAGTGCTGTCACACCATCCTTGCACGTGAATACCCTCTCAGGGAACTGGGACAAAAACAGGATATATCAAACATAAACACCACAGAAAGAGGCAATTGTCAACACCATCCTTGCACGTGAATACCCTCTCAGGGAACTGGGACAAAAACAGGATATATCAAACATAAACACCACAGAAAGAGGCAATTGTCAACACCATCCTTGCATGTGAATACCCTCTCAGGGAACTGGGACAAAAACAGGATATATCAAACATAAACACCACAGGAAAGAGGCAACTGTCAACACCATCCTTGCATGTGAATATCCTCTCAGGGAACTGGGACAAAATCAGGATATATCAAACATAGACACCACAGGAAAGAGGCAATTGTCAACAGGAACTTTCATTTCACTAAGTGAGTGAATGCTGTTTGATGACACAGTAAGCTATAGTCCAGCCAGAGCTGGATCGCATGAAAAAAACCCTGTTTTTATTGGACAAACCAGTGGTCGACAGCATGAGCAACAATCCACAGCGCTTCGTATGATAGCACACTATCAGCCAAGTTCCACATAGTACTAAACCACCCAAACTTCAGTAGTTGTTCGTTTGACAAACATGGGATGCCAGTCTTAGAAAAACAATTTTTTGGTAATCTTGTGTAAACCTTATTTCAGTAGCAGTCCTCAGAGTCTTAAGCTAGTCCTGCTTGAATGAGACAAGAACATTTACTATGTTTACATGTGTGTCAGTTTTATTCACATCCAATTTGTAGCAAAATTTAAGCATGGAGAACTGAACTGAAAACAACAACTTCATCAACAAAATCCTTTTCCAAAAAGTGTTGAAGTCAAACTTACCTCTGGATTTTTAAGCGACCATCCACAAATATAACCTCCTTTCTGGTTTGTAAATTCAAACTGACCATATCCAACTGCAATTAGGTCCTGGAAATGAAAAGCATCAATGTGCTAGATCTTCTTGTCAGATGCATGCAGTAGAGGTAGTGTTTGTTTGTTTGTTTGTTATACTCAGCAATATTCCAGCTATATGACGGACGTCTGTAAATAATCAAGTCTGGACCAGACAATCCAGTGACTGACATAAGCATCGATCCACGCAATTGGGATACATTGACCTGCATCAACCACGTCAGCGAGCCTGACTACCTGATCCCGTTAGTCGGCTCTTACGACAAGCATAGTCGCCTTTTACGGCAAGCATGGGTTACTGAAGACCTATTCTACCTCGGATCTTCACAGGTTAGTAAAGCTAGTGAAGAAGATGTAATAAAACTGACCATGTCCATAGAATGTGAACATTTAGGAGATAAACATACTGTGTTTTCAATGCAGAGCTAGGTTACCTGTTGATTTAACCATGCTAAATTGCATTTTGAACTGAACGCGCAGGGTGAGGTTTCAAATGTGAAATTTAGCGCTTAGAGGGAACATTCTGCCATATCTAACCATAAATTGCAAGGCTTTCGTTCTACACTGCATGTCACCATTATGACATCATTTCGCTCATTGTGACGCAAAAGATATGACGTCACAGTCGTATATATAGAAAAGCGCCAAATTCCAAGCGCTCTGTTATCTACAAAACTTAAAATACATTCTCTTTGTAGATTTCTATCATGTTTCCTGCACAAAATGTATTGCCACACATTCTTTGAATATTGTAGTAACCGCAACTTCGCATTTTGTAACCTGTAATTGTAGATGTAATTATTTCAATATGCTTACCGACAATGACTGAAAAAAGTACTATTCTATGAATATTAGCTTCTGCAGTGATGCGGACGTCAAACCATCTGTTTCAATCAGAGGGGGTTTATTGTGATTTAATAGCCTCTGACTGACCAATCAGAATCGTGTAATGTCAAAATTCATGGTAGAATATATAATTTAACTGTGGACAACGAGTATCTCTACCTGTTTGAATGCCCAAGTCTTTCATATTTGAGAAACTTCATGTTACCTCAATGTTCTGTAAATATCCAACTCAAATAAAAACTATCTTCCTTATGCAATGTTCTTACAAGTCACTTTTACTAGTCTGGACTATTGTGATAGACAGGCAGGGTAACAACAAGTGCCATCTGTTAATGTCTTTTGGTATGATGCGGTTGGGGATTAAACCACAAACTTTCTGCACTCTATCCACTAGCTCACGGAAACAAGGCATGGATGCCACAGACTTAACAGGAGTTAACTGGCCTTCCCTAGCAGTGCCCCAGCCTGTTCGTACTCCACTGTGACCACCTGATCCCCTTTCAATCAGCTCTTACAACAAGCATGGGTTATTGACAACTTACCCAGTACTAAAACTACCCACAAGAACACAGTAAGAGAAAAGGGCTAGGACGGAAGGAAAATGACATTTTCAGGTTCCAAAGAAGCAGTTTCAATGTCCTCCTGTGACATGCACTACTCACAGGGTTGAGTTTGTTCCAAGTCATACAGGACACATTCCGACCCTTGGTCAGTGGGCAGGAGTAGGACCACAGACGGTCCAGGTTTGGACCCATGTCAGCCACACTGGTTTGGGTCATACTGGAGACCTCTCGATCTATATCTGTTGATGGAAAATGTGAGTGAGTCAGGTTTAATGCCATTGTTTACAATATTTCAGTTATATGACAGTGAATGTGGGAACAATCTTAGTGCTAAGATGAATACAACCCATTCTTTATTGTCAATGTATGGTTTTGTTTGTTTGTTTGTTGTTTAACGCAGCACTCAGCAATGTTACAGCTGTATGACTGTGGTCTGTAAGTAATCAACTGGACCAGACAATCCAGTGATTCATATCATGAGCATCTCTCTACACGATTCTGTTAGTCACCTCTTATGGCAAGCACAGATTGCTGAAGACCTATTCTAACCCGGATTGTTAGTGAACATGAATTATGACCGTCTTAGAGCTAAGCACGCTTTGTGGAATGAGGTCTGCCAAGGCTTCAGACATTTACTACTTGAGCAATACAAGGTGCTAGGAGACCAAGTATTCCAACCCATGACCAGAAGATCCTAGTATCTTATCACTAAATACATAGCAAGTACGGTTTTACGCCATTGCTACTCTGTTTGCTATATTCCAGAAATATTTGTTTGTTTGTTTGTTGTTTAACGCCACACTCAGCAATATTCCAGCTATATGACGGCGGTCTGTAAATAATAGAGTCTGGACCAGACAATCCAGGGATTGACATGATGGGCATTGATCCACGCAATTGGGATCGATGACAGGCATCAACCAAGTAAGCGAGCCTTACCACCCAGTCCCGGTAGTCTCCTCTTACAAGTATTGTCACCTTTTATGACAAGCATGGGTTGTTGAAGACCTATTCTACCCAGGATCTTCACGGGTCTATTCCAGAAATATCATGGTGAGGTTCATACATTGTTTGTATGTGGGGATCGAACCTGTACCTTCAGCGTGACGAGCAAATGCCCTAACCACTAACAACTCCACTGCCCCCACTGTAATTTAAATACAGATAAAAAAAACCACACTATCCTTTACATAAATTTTCTGCTGTAGATGTACTTATTTGATGTCACACTGTTGGTCCTCTCCATAGGTAATATTTCTCCCAAGCATTGGCAAATGTTGTGAATATATAACATGTACTTCCTAAAACTTAGTTCTTGAACCCCAACTGCAATGTTCAGCATACCTGTGATGATGCCGTATCCTCTATAGAGGGCTTGTTTGGGTTGGTATGAGTTCAAGTTGAGGTTTCTTTCCATCATGAATAGGTCACGCTTTAGGTTCTCAGACTGGAAAAAATACATGATAGTTATCAATGGAGAGAATGAGATTTTAAGTCAACATTTTCTAGCATTTGGCATCCCTCCTCAGTGAGTGTGAGGGACTTTGTAAACCTTTCTAGCAATACTCCTGTTATAATATTGCAGTGGCCATACATGCAAACAGAGTACGGGGGCACGGGCGACCCAGTTGTCTAAGGCGCCGCAATTCGCTGTGCAATCTTATTAAAATTAGATCATAGTTCTTGCTACCGCTAAACAAAGATCTGAGGTCATCCCATTACGGGTCATGTCAGACGGAACTTATGCAAACTTTGACCGACCAATGGAATAACAAACAAGAAGTAGGCAATAGCCAATCAGAAAGCAGCTTAATCGAGCTTTATGGTACGAGTTTCAAACTGGCGACTAAGCTTCGAAACATATTTTGACATATACTCGGTTAAAAAATTAAAAACTGAACAAAAGAACATTCTGGAATGGCTAATAAATGGTCTATATTGTGTGAATACAGATATAAAGCCCATAAATGTTGTTAGGAATACCCTGTGTGGTTATTTTTCGAGGTTGCACGATAAAAAATCACATTCCAACTGTCACTTTCATGATCTGCTAAGTGATGCTCTGATTGGTCAGATGAAAGGTCGTTCTGACATGGCCAGTAATGGGATGTCCTCAGATCTTTGTTTAGGGGTAGCGAAAACTAAGATCTGATTTTAATGAGATTGTTCACTGTGCAGAGTTGCGTCCCTTGGGCATACCAGAAACCAATGATCGTGGGTTCAAATCCTGGTTCCCCCCGAATATGTTTCTAGGTTTGTCAGCACCATACCCGTGCTCGTGGGTTTCACCGAAGTGGTTAACGTCTGAGACCTGCATTACTTCGGGGTTTCCTCACACATTAAGCTGACACGCCGTGATGTAACTGGAATACTGTTAAAAGCGGCAGTGTACCCAAGTGGAGGACATGGAACCCTGGTTCTCAGTGAATTCATATCAATAACCTGCTGTGTACTGTGGTGATAATGGGATCGGCCATAGAAGTCCCTTTTAAAGACTCGTCCAAAGGATTAACGCAAATCTTACTTCACCAGTCCTCAGACAGTTTTAGACCACTAGTCCTTATAATTACAGCATATAGCAAACCCCTTAAAATGGGCAAATTTCTCATCCTTGTGGTACCTTAACTATTGGGCAGTTTGGCAAGGACTAAAGGACTAGTGCCAATTTCTAAAGCTGTCAGAGTTTGTAGCTAGTCCTGCTTGAACAAGACAAAAATGTTCACAATGTTTACATTTCCTGTCAGTTTTATTGAGTTCCAATTTGTAGCCAAACTGAATCATTGACAACTTGTTCAGATTTTATAGACCTCAAATGCTTCTAGTCAATGAAGACTACCATCATTGGAGTTTACTTGTCCTGGGCACAATTTAGTAGTCTCAGACAAGCGTGAATTTCAAAGGGGATATTTGTTTGATTCCCCCCGAATGAGGGGAGCTGACACTGAGTTTAACCACTTCATTTCTCACATAACAAAATAATTTTAAGTCCATCTGAGGCGACATAATCCGTTTGCAATATCTGTTAATTTTGTTATCCCGAATTCATTACATGCGAGAATTTGGTATGACAGTATATAATTCAAACCAGTGAGGACAAATGTTCATCATATATGCCATTTCCATGTTTGTTTTGAGTTTTAACCCCATTTCTCTGAACACATAATACATGATATGGCTGTGTTTATGTTCATATACTCCAGCATGACCAACTACCCTACCTTCAGTATCTTCTCCTCGTCATGAGCCTGTGTATCAGTCGGCATGGATGATACTCCCGTCTCCCTGCTGGCAAATACACTCTCTGACCCAGCCACAGACGAGGCCACAGTTGCTCGACTTTCTGAAATGATACACAACACTGACACTTTGTATTGGGTCTTAATGTACAAGTTTTACGCCGCTTTTAGCAATATTCCAGCAATATCACGGCGGGGGACACCGGAAAATGGGCTTCACACATTGTACCCATGTCGGGAATCGAACCCGGGTCTTCGGCGTGACGAGCCAACGCTTTAACCACTAGGCTACCCGACTGCCCCCTTAATGTACAAGAAACTGACTAGTAAATGTATACATGTCCTACAAACACTGCTGATACAGTATTGTTTATTTCAAAGAATAGTGAAAGTGAATGCAATGATATCAAACTGAAGTAATAAAGTTGAGTGAAGTGACAGCTATATCACAACTTTTTCTGCAATCTGAATCAGAGAAAAAACAACTAAACAGCAACACTATTTTTACAAAAGCTGATATAAAATTATTTAAAATCTTTGCCTAATTTATTTCTTTGATGGAGTATCAAGACTCTTGAGGTTGATGATAAAACAAATAGAAGGTAATTTATCAATCTTTCAATATTATGAACACAAGATGCAACTGAGCAAAGAATTACCAACGCTGCTCTATACAGGCATAAATGCCGTTTCAACAGAAGAGAGCCAGTGTGTTGATAGTGAATAGTTTACCAATAGACAAGTGAAGTAGATAGGATCAGAGATTGACAATGCAGGGGTGTTTCTATTAGATAGTCTGGTGGGGAGAAATGAAAGGCTTAAGGACTTTGGACATGTGGGGAAAAAAGTGCTTGGCTCCCCATTTTGAAGATCTTTTTTATTTCTTGAAAAGAATATTGCCACAAACCAAAATCTCAGGCCCCCCAAACACCACTAACAGGGTATTAATTGGGCAGTCCCTAATTAAGACATATATTACACATTTGATTCAATGATATAATGTAAAAGTTAATATCAAAACACTTCTCATTATAGTCCTATTATCAGTTCAATAGAAATGACCTTTGCAAAGTTTAAATATAGGTTATGATTATTATAAACTGAATGCGGAAATCAAATTTTGTGAATTTATCAACATTGTTGGAGAACTTGGGCAAATACTGCCTCTGAGAAAGAGGGCAAGCTTGGAAGGCTAAGGGAGACAACTCCAAGGGACAAGGGAAAACCCCAATTGACATAAAAGGAAAACCAAAGACGATATCCGTCTTTGGGAAAACACATAAAGAGACATGCAAGTGGTACTATCATTACGTGGAACAAAGTTTTCAGTGAGGAATTGACAATATAAAACAAAGTTAAATACAGATGGTACCCTTACAGTCTTACACATAATTTGTACGTGAATATTGGAACTTTACTATATGTTCATTACAAAAAAACATAATTTTGCTGATGTAGAGTATGTTTGCTTTTATACATCACAGTCCGCAATGTACCAGCTATATCACAGCAGCTGGTAGATAACAGAATCTGGGGCAACAAATCAGTGGCTGATATGATGATCAATGTCCCACGGCGTTGGACATGATGACACACAATAAGCACCTCTCGACAAGCAATAGTAATGGGAACTAGGCCTCGAACGAGTCCAAATTAACTACCCGGGTACCCGACACCCTATTAATCGGCCCTACCCAGATACCCGCTATAGGTCTCAAAATGGGTGCAAAATGTCCGAATGGGAATTGTTTTACTGCAGCCCTGGCAAAAACTATTTAGATACACGTATAAAATGATCTGATCATGTATACAATGACGTTGAACCTACTCAGGACCCACCCGACCCAAGTACCCGAGTTACCCATCCCAGGCCAAATGGGAACCTATTCTAACCACAATATAGATGTATATTATGTACCGGTAAAGACAAAGTAAAACTTTTACATCACATGAAGAACAATATTTCTTATTTCTATGCGTGGAGTCCCCGAAGTGATGAGCCATGCATCTGACATGTAGACACAGAATCCTGTATGTGAAAGGAAGAAAATACCTTCCTACAAATGTGATAGCTAAGGGCATAAGCACAGCTAAGCTAGCTATTATATAAGCATGTCATGCAATACATAAGCAGCTTACCTGTCAGTCGACTTGCGACTGATCTCACAATGATGGAACCTTGGGTTAGACACACACAGCAAAAAGGTTAGCTAAATACAAGCTTGGTACAAGCTCACTCAGGTTATACAGACAGATACAGGGCTACACAGCCTCCAATACATGACATAACCCTCTTGTCTTTTCCAGAGTATCAAATCTTCCCTCTTTGATGACAAATACCCCGGACCCTTCTGTACCCAAACCTTTGTTTCGGAAGTCAATCGCTCTCATCTCCAACCAAACACAAAATGTCTAATGCTCATGTGAGCTGGAAATCAAAAACTAATCTTTTGGCATATATCTGTACATTCACAATTGGGATTGATTACTAGCAAGTCCATGATATATTAAAATCAAACAAAATAAACTGTTACAAATTAACAGATGTAAAAAATGGTTCCATAAGTATTAAGACGGGAATGGAAATCTTTAAACTGCAAGACATCCCCAGTGGTATTGGAGGTGGCATGCAAAAAGACAAGTCGATTACTGGCACTATATTTAGCATCGTGTCATCGGAAACAGACGCAAAACAAAACTTTGGTTGCCATGGGTCCAGGGTATTTATCAAAGTATGCTGGAGATTTATAATACAGTGGATAATTGAGGATGGATAAAACATATTGTGCCAACCCAACACTGAGGCTATTGGAAATATCAAGGAAACTTGGGTCTAAAATCAGTAAGTTTAAAAAAATAACAGTGATCACCAGAAGGATGTTTGACTATGGTTTTGACAAAAATAAATAATCTCTGTGGTCTAGTGGAGAGAGCATCTGCTTGGAGACCGGAATTTGATCCCCTGCCTCGTCATACCAAAAGTTTTTAAAAGATGGCAGCTGTTAACTGGGCAAAATTACAGGCACTGTTTTAGACAAAACTCATAATATGATCCACTGTTTTGTATTCGTGGAATTGGGAGCAAAATATCGAACTGAATCTGCCCAAATTGTAATGGTTGTCATCTCTGTATGTTTCTGCCTATATACACAAAAATCTATGTAGAAAATTCAACATCAAAATCAGCACTGACTAATAGACAGTAATTTTGTCTCACAATTTATTATCCTCGCTAATAGAAATGGCTAGAATTATCTACAAATAGAAAACAAGAGATATCTGGAGATGACATATCCCCCCGGTCTGGTGCAATTCAGAAATGGAGTTTTTAGTTTTGGTTCATTGCCACCTGATAACTTCAGTTCAGTGAAGAACAAAATACTGTTCAGTATTTTTCAAAATACCAAATCATCAAAAGGCACCAGTTCAGCACTAGACTGATCTGTATAGCAAGTTTCATCCAGAAACATTCAACAGTTCTGGAGGTCTGCTCCGAAAACCAATACGTCCAACTAGTAAGTGTGGACAAAAAAAAATTAAAAAAAGGAAAATCCCAAATTTCAAGAGGCACCAATTAACCACTAGACTGATCTATATAGCAAGTTTATACATGAAATATTCCATGGTTCTGGAGTTCCGCTCCAAAGATGAGCACTACCCTCATTTTCAGTTAAGTCCAACTTTTTTTTTTCAGACCAGGGGGACAATAATTAGAAATGAAAAAGACTTACTGGTAAAACTAATTAACTAAACTATAATTACAAATTATCTGCATTATTAAAAAAATCAGTTTGTACTTATCTAAAGCAGAGAGATTTATTAAAAGTGTTTGCTGAAACTAGACCCCTGCAGAACCCATGACACTGAGCTGACCACAATACTGTGTACACACCTGGCCGGGCACTGCCCCCTCTGACGAGAGTAGTCTCCCTTGAAACTGGGGCGGGGTCACCCTCACCCTGCTCATCGGTGGTCTTGGGACTTGTGGGGCGACTAATTGTCCCTTCCTCTTCTTCTTCAGCTTCCTCTTTGGCTGTTGGGGAAAATGTCAAACATCTATGTCAAATCATCTTTCATTGATAAGTGTGTGAATGTGACTTGTGTTTGAAGCTGCTTTGATTTGCGTGTTTGGTTTGGTTTTTTAACACAAATCTCAGGAATATTCCAGCTATGTGTTGACAGGCCATAAATAATGAAGTCTGGACCAGACAAACCAGTGATTGATTTTAGGACCAATGATCCATCCATCAGGGGATCACCGAGTCTGACCTCCAGATCCATTCATCCATTAAGACCAGTATTGGTTGCTGTGGACCTTTTCTGATCTGTAAACCCAATGGGTTTTGAAGAAAGAGGCTGCTTTGAACAGTATTTCAGTTATATTACAGCATGCCAATTTAATTTTGGAGAAAGACCAAAGTGATGCACGTCTAAGACGTTTACCACAATTGTGAAACCCACGAGCAGAGGTATTATGCTGACAGTTTAAGATCATGGCACATTTAAGGGATGGAACACAAATTCAAGGGGTACTTGTGACCCGTTTTTGTGGATAACAAAATACTCTTTGAAATGGTGTTTTGTAAGTTTAACCTGGTGATTTATTATCTGTGAAACATACCATGTAAACTAATATGAAAACAAAAAATGCTGAAAATTAACATGAATTTTATCCTCAATTGATTTCAAAATGTGTGCACACTTGTCAAATAATTGAATAAGAGCATTCTTGTCAAAACAGTGACAGCTTCTAACATATGACATCTGCTGTGGTTCAGCTATTTCACAACATCAATTAATTTATGTGAACACTCAATCTATCTAGAGAACATACAAATAAACACACATATATAAAATACACAATATTCAACTATGTAACAGGTTCACATCAATTAAAACTCTCAGCTCTGCTCTACACTGTACTTTTGATATTGGTGAATGCTGTAGTGAGCATCAGATGTTTCATTCTGTTGATATTTCTTTGAGTTTCTTTGAACTTACCAACTCTGTATAAATTGAATAAACTTGTTTGCAGAATGTTATGCTATTTTAATGTGAAGGACAATTCTAAAGCTCGATCTTGACAAAGCATTATTGTGAAATTGTGAGCGATTGAGTTGGGTTTAACACAGCTTTTAACAGTATTACAGTTATATCACGGCGTGCCAGCTTAATGTGGGAGGAAAGGCCAAAGTGATGCAGGTCTCAGACATTTACCACTTCGGTGAAACCCATGAGCACGGGTATGGTGCTGCACAGCAAATTGGTGCTGCACAGCAAATTGCGGCGCCTTAAGACTACTGGGCCCCCCGTGCCCTCCCATGGTGAAATAATCAACATCATGAACAGTGTATCACTGAATCGACCACCAAAACACAAGCCTCAGTCTTTGGTCTTGTAGGTTATGTTGCAGACTGCCTTGAGGGTTTGTTGGACCTTTTATTTTTCAATAGTTGGTTCACATATTTTTTTCTCTCAAAACCTTTGTTCGGTGGTCGAAAATAAAACATCATGAGACAAATCAATTATTTTATTTTGTAGTTGGTCAGAAGGATGGGAAAACAGTAAACTCACAAATTCTCTTGCTTCCTTTTTGCACATTTATGAAATGAGTTAGTTGTGTTTAACACCGCTTTGAACAGTATTCCAGTTATGTCACTGCACGTCAGCTTAAAGTCAGCTTAAAGTGATGCAGGTTCCAGATGTTTACCACTTTGGTGAAAACTGACGCGCAAGGGTATGGTCATGACAAACCTAGAAACATAATCGGGGTGAACCGGGATTCAAACCCAATATCATAGGTTTCTGGAGTGTCCAAGGGACGCAACTCTGCACGGCGTATTGCTGGGCCTAAGACGACTGGGCCACCCCATTAATAAAATGTAACAGGAATTTAAATATTTTATTATATAGCACTTACATTGGAACAAATCCACACTGTTAGGAGAAATGGTTAAGCCATGAATAGTATTTTCACAATTACAATTACAGCACTGATCATGTAACATCTGTCTCAGGCAGCAAAGCATTTTTTTGTATTTCATATTTATTATGTCTGAAGTTAATAAAAAAAAACGTAAAACTATCAAACAAAATTCCACATTCCTGATTTTTAGGATCAGTGGATCCATAGACCAAGTAATAACAAATAAAATTTCATAAAAATAACATTCACAGATGTCTGCCTATTCTGAGTAGAAGGACTCATGAGTCATTTCAGAGAATTTTCCGGTAATATGTATCATCAGAAAGTAATGATTAGTACTCACCTCTTGCTTCTTTCTCTATGGCCTCGTATGTGTCATACATGTCCCAAGTTGTTGACAAGATGCCCACATCCTGTTCAAACAAATCACATGCATCAAAGTTCTTGAACAGTTGACAAATCCACAAGATAGCATGAGAAGCCAATATTTCAAAGGTAACATTAGAAATTACATCATGTAACTATATCCTGAGACAGTTGGACTCCTGTCAAATATATCCAAAACGTCATTAGAATATCAGTCAGGACCAGACTCGACAATAAATACAGGGTACACATTTTCTTAAAGTAAATGTCATTCTAAGATTTCTTAAGTTGTGATTCAATGACAAATGTAGCTGACTTGGTTCAAACTAGAGATAGTACCAGGAAACACTTAAACAATAACAAACATTCTCTGTTGCATGTATTTTGATAATGCCAAAAATAACCAACATTATTGTTTGCAGCTGTTATAGTGAGTGAGTGAGTACGGTTTTATGCCGCTTTAAGCAATATTCCAGCAATATCACGTCGGGGGACACCAGAAATGGGCTTCACACATTGTACCTATGGAATCAAACCCAGGTCTTCGTCGTGATGAGCGAACTCTTTAACCACTAGGCTACCCGACTGCCCCGCAGTTGTTATAAATGAATCCTGTCTATGACCTGAAGTGAGTGAGTGAGTGAGTTGGGTTTAACGCCGCTTTTAACAATATTCCAGCTATATCGCGGTGTGTCAGCTTAATGTGGGAGGAAAGCCCGAAGTGATGCAGGTCTCAGACATTTACCACTTCGGTGAAACCCACGAGCACGGGTATGGTGCAGACAAACCTAGCAACATAACTTGGGTGAACCTGGATTCGAACCCACAATCATAGGTTTCTGGCGTGCCCAAGGGACGCAACTCTGCACAGCGAATTGCTGGGTGCCTTAAACGACTGGGCCACCTGTGCCCCTGATGATTGTGGAGATGATCAGGAGTGATGATGATGTAATTTATAACCCTGATGCTCAGCAGTACTGACAATGTTCCTCCATCACCCGTGAATACATACAGTGCAGTGTTGTAGTCATGCATGTGTACCTTCAGTTAACTTATGAAATGCAGCCTTTAGGAACCCATGTACATCAAATGAGCCCTCTCAGTGCAAACTCTACCATTGCCTGACTTTGAGGCAATGTGTAGTGCAGATGGTCGCAGGACTATGGAACATGCTGTACACGTTTTCAAGGAAGAAACATTGGTGGCTGGGTGATGTTTGTTTGTTGTTTAATGCCTCAATCAACAATATTCAAGCCATATGACGGCGATCTGTAAATGATTGAGTCTGGAACAGATAATCCAGTGATTGACATCATGGGCATCGATCCACGCAATTGGGATACAATGACATGCATCAACCAAGTCAGCGAGTCTGACCACCTAATCCCATTCGTCACCTCTTACGACAAGCATGGTCGCCTTTTACCTCAAGCATGGGTTGTTGAGACCTATTCTATCCCGGATCTTCAAGCCTTCCCTCTCACAGGAATCAGACCTCTGCTCATTGGTTAGTTAATAATAGTGATACACATGAAAAAGAGGCCCCATATATTCTTGGGTAATGGAGCTACAGGACATAGGACTGTGCCAATGAACCTCAGTCATCTTCATCATGATTCATTACAGTACCAACTTTATGAAATTTTGTTTCAGTCATGTATTGATGTGATTTCTTACATTGTATACAATCTTCGTTGTCTGAATATTCTTGGTCTTTGGCGGCTCGTTGAAAGTGTTCATGCCTCTCTCTGCATATCTGTCATTGCCAACACGACTCTTCACCAGCTGGAACACAGACATTAATAGACATCACAAAATACATCAATGTGCATTTAGGAAATAGTCAACTGAATCTCTGAGACAGGATCAAATCAGTTTGCCTGAATATTGAATATTTTGATTTGTAATAGAAAATGAAAGGGTAAGAACGTGTTTTACAAATTGTACCCATGTGGAACAAAACACAAGTCTTCAATGTGATGAGTGAACACTTTAACCACCTGGCTATCCCACTGCCCCTTTCCTATAAACAACATTTCACCTCCTGGTACTTCTCATTCCTCGTCTTGACCTGATCGGCCTCATCTGACTCCAGTGAGATGCACACAGCTGGCATGTCTAGCAGCCATATTGTCTCCGTCTCCGTCAGTGTCAGGTCCACCATCTTCTCCAGGTCCATATCTGTCAGTATTTCTTTCACCTCCTCTCGACGATGACGGATATCTGTCAGTAAATCAAAACTTTTTATTGAGACCATCTTTACATTATTCTAACTGTATCAACGTGATCAATATGATTGGTCATTGATGTCTTGCCATCAGAGCATGGTCAATTACAACGCATCGAGAGTTCAATCAATTGTTGCAGTAATCAATCAAACTACTATCTCCTAACTTTACTTTCAGCTATCTGTAGTGAGGAGCAAGACTCACCTGCCCATGGTGCTGACAGATCAGCGTGTTCGTCATCAGCTACCGACTCTGTCCCTGTGTCATAGGACTGGCTGAATACAGACCTGCAAAACAAGTATATATATGTTTCTGTTTACAGACCTGTTAACATGTGAAAAGAAAAAGGTAAATAAACATTTTAGTAAAATCTAAATATTTTTTACATTTGTATACTCATCCTGCATTACTCCTTAATGCATTCACTGCTTACTTACGACAACTAGAAGGACAGCGCTGCGAAGGTCCTGGGTGAAGAAATAAAGTTGTTGTTCTCAAGTCCCAATCAGTGGCCTTCCGTCGCTGTCCTGTGACCTTGATGACACCTAAGGTCATCTTCACATCACTGCCTGTTGCCCAAGTTCTTAGAAAAACATACTTTTGAGGTTTCTGAAGCCAAAGTGGGGAGGCAAGTCTAACGACGGGTGGGCCTTAAGCGTAGTAATGCAGGATAAGTATACAAATGTAAAAAATATTTAGATTTTACTAAATTTTTTACTTATCCTGCATTACTCCTTAATGCATCTGTATCGGACGGTTTGGAGGTGGGTAAACCTTCAGAATACAGAAACCTCAATAATTCACACCCTGCAATACGACACCAGTTGGTCGATAAACCGTGAAGCGGAAAAGTTCAGACAAAAACGCCATTACGGTAGGGTTGTTCAAAAATCAAAAAGATTGAACATAGGAATTAAAGAGAAATTCCCTATACACGCTTAGTAATAAAGAAAATAATAGCTATTCAGCTAATTCTTTACTTACTGCGTCATAGAGCCGTCGCTGACAAACAAGATTGTCTAATATTCTTCCACTGGTGGCGACTGAGTGACTGCACATGGAAGTTGACTGGCTCTGTATAGGGTGAATTCATTATTTGCGTCAGGGGTTGGCAATCTGCAGGATAACAACCAGAGGGCCAAACTTCGAACGTCTTCGACATCCTCGAGAGCCCCAACGCAAAGGTAATGACTAACGAAAATATGTGTCGAATCTCCAGAAATATCCTTCCGTGATTATTCCAAAACCACAATTGCCGTGTTGAGCCCTGGTAAGGCTGACACCTTGAGATCTTGAGGGTAATTCGCTCTCGGCGAGTTCCGTTTGATGATCTCGTAGGCCTGAAGGATTACTGCGCGTAACCATAGAGATATGGTGTTTGCGATTATGCGACTAACTTCTGTCATGGACGAACCACGCCTAGTCTTGGAGCGTCGAATGAAAACTCGAACTGCTCGCACCAAGCCCAGGAGAACTTCACCATGTACGATTCCCACAATAGTCAATATCGGTGGGATGGTGAAGGAACGGTCGGGTTGGCCTGGTAGTAGATTTTAGCAATAAAATCCCAGCATAACCCTAGATGTCCCGTTCCGTGCGTCCCATGCTCAAAACGGATCCGGGTTGAGTCGATCACATGTAGTTCGCTCACCCGTACCGCCATTGCTAATGCCAAGAGAAACCATTGTTTCCTTGGTGATGTCCAAGCTCCTCACAGCGTTAGCCCGTTCGCGGAGCTTTCTATACTATACCGAGAGTGTAACGAAGGTGTCACGCGCTGGGAAGGAGCTTGAAAATGAGGATGCAATGAGGGGCTCGAAGGGGGTCCTCGCAAACCTCGAAGTACCACGTTCAAGTCCCTATCAGGTGGCTGGAACTTGGCCTTCTGATCCTCAAACCTGAATGAGCATAATATGGCCTGTAGTTCCGTGACCTTAATCACACTGTGATTTTCCGGAAACGGCCAACACTAAGATAATTGCAGCCAATTACGTAGTAATGGTGCTACCTTCCAAGTGTTTTTGGGTACGCAATGTAGGAGGTATTCCTCTAGGAATTGTGACGCAATCGTAGGGTCTTGATTCTTTTCTTCCCTGTAAAAAGTCTCAAGTGATCCCCACTTGTCATCGTCGTCTCTGGGAGAGTAACGATGAACTGAAGCTATAGCTTTGCTGCCCGTGTCGAAATAACCCTTCGCACTTAAACGCCTTTTAAAGACGAACCATGCGTGCAGACGTTGGGTGAGGCAATTTTCTGTTGAGGGTGGATGAGTAGGTTGGACCACTGTGAGAGGGGAAGTGAATCGTTTTAGATTTTTCCGAGCTTGACGAACTACCCTCTCGCCGGTTACCAGGGTGCGACCAAAGGAGAGATCGAGATCCCTTGTCTCCTTGATCCCCTGTAGCACCTTGGGAAGTAAAAGTGGTGGCAGAAGAGTGTTAGTTCTTTGCCCTTCCCAAGTGATACTGAACTCGTCCACCGCCCAAGTCTGCGGATCCGGCAATGGGGAGATATACGTCATGAGTTGGTGGCCTAGGCAAGTAATAAACAAGTCAATGTTTGGTTGCCTGAATTCCTGAAGCAGTAACTGGAATGCTTCTGTGAGAAATTTTCACTCGGTGGGAGCCACCCTGTCTGGACGTGATAAAGTATCGGCCAGTATGTTTCTACATCCGGGGATGTGCTGAACTATGAACCTTAGTCACAGCCGATCCACTAGATGGAAGAAATCTGAATGTCCTTAGAAGTGGAGAGTGGGAGTGTGTTGTTCCCCGATTGCACAGGCACCACACCGCAGTGCTGTTGTCTGTGGATATAGCGAGTCGGGCTAACTGTAGTTGATTCTGCCAATGTGATATAGCCAGAATTAAAGCTTCCAACTCCAAGTTGTTTATGTGCCACTTCCATTGTGCGCAGACATTCAGCGCCACAAATTGAGGCAAGGCTCTAGCTTAGTCAGTAGAGTGATGGCCTTGAGTGGATCCTGACTCCTGATGTAAGGGTTCGGGAAAAAATTGAATTGGTCGCAGTTGTAAGCGGCCCATGCTAGTTAACTCCTGTGCCGAGGTGATTAACCCTAGCAACACTTGCCACTGGCGAAGTGTGTGTGGTTGGTGTAGAGTAGATGACAAAAGAAGTAGAACTTGTGCCATCTGTCCCTCGGTACAGATAGGATATCCTGGTCTGTCTTAAACAGGTCTCCTATGAACTGAAGTCAATAGGAAGGAGAATACTCCCGACTTCGCCTCGTTGATTGTCTATCCCAGTTATTGACATGTGTTGATGATACAGTAGATCGCCCTCCATCTACGACTCGAACCAAGTGTTCGTCACGTGTAGATAGTTATTGGCTTCATTACTCCTGTAAATAGCCATAAGTGTCACTGACATGTCAAATGGGAAATACTACCATTGGTAGTGAACCCCAATGAACTGGACCTGAAAAGTCTACGGTTGGGATGGATAGTCGAGACTGATGAAGAATCAAACGATCGTTGAACACAGAGATTGTGGATCATTCTCATCTTGTCTGGGTCCTTCATGAGTACCAGGTACGTGTGAGGATAAAACCCCGGAGTAAAGACTGGGCTGTGAACCCACTCTACAGCTCTTCTTACCAACAGTATGTCTATGTTGGATTTTCCAAATCAAACTGTGGTCAACGGTGGGGTTATCTCTACCCTTATACGGACACCATGATATAGTGCGATAAGTACGAAATCGTCCTTGAGACTTGTCTCTGCCACTCCCCTTCTCAGTAAGGGAATGCTGGTCTTCCCTGAGAAACGCGCGTCTAGGCTTATAATTCCCTGACTTGCAAGCCCGCTTGGACTTTCTAAGCTTTTTGGGAACTTGACGTGCGTGTCTGCGATCTGTTCGTTGAACAGGGGAGTAGATGATCAAGGTTGACGTAATAGACTGCCCTTGAAACCAGCATCTCAGTTGGAAACGCTATAAAGTCTTGGGTGTAACGGTAATCTCCGTCAGAACGGTCTCAAGATGAATTTTCCTGTGGTCAAACTGACGCTGAAGGAAAAACACCAAAGTTTGGAAGTGATCTAATCAGATAGGGTTATCCTCTAATAGATTCTGATCCACTGCAAACATTGACGATATTGGTCGCTTAAATCACGGAGCAAATGTGAGTTTTGGAGAAGTCTTCCTCCAATGACCTCGTGGTGTCCCTCTTATTTACCCTGTTATCAGGGGAAGGCGTTACTGACACGAGATGGTCTGCTTCCCAATCGGGTACATGTGCTAAGCTGATCATGTGCCGGTTACGTAACCGAGTACACTGTAAGCCTTGGGCTAACGTCATTATAGAGACCTTGATTGGTACGCAGACGCTGCGCTCAGCGAAGGACTTTGCTGGATATGTTGGAACAGCGCTAAGCTGATCGTGCGTCACTTGCGTGATAGGAGCGCTTGGGTATCAGTCAGACGCTGCGCTCGGCGCAGGTCTATGCTGGATATGTTGGAACAGCGCTAAGCTGATCGTGTGTCACTTGCGTGATAGGAGCGCTTGGGTATCAGTCAGACGCTGCGCTCGGCGCAGGTCTATGCTGGATATGTTTGAACAGCGCTAAGCTGATCGTGCGCCGCTTGCGTAATAGAAGTGCTTGGGTTGTAGTCAAGTGCTGCGCTCGGCGCAGATAAATCAGACACAAAGCTCAAAAGTATTGCATGGATCAAGGCTTGCGTCTAATCTACCCCCATCATAGCATCTCGATACGCTGGTGCTGGTGCTGTCGCCGACGTCACAGATTTCTTTATCATACATGTATCTGGAAGTGTCCGGCGGCTGAAAAAATAGGAGCAGTTACGATACTCACAAAATCCTCCGGTATTGTTGATTTCGGTGGATGGTGTACATCTGCAATCACAAGCGTCATAATACCTGCCGATAATAACGGTTGGGTGGTAATGACAGAACCATATGTCATTCGCTATTCTGCGATAGTGACATTCCTCTCGTCTCACGATGGAATAACTGCAAAATATAATTGTGAGTAATCTGCTTTTATATAGTAAACTCGTTGGATTAGAGATTTACACAAAAATTACATTTTGAATTTTGGCGAGCACATCTACGTGCATGCCTATGACCGTGGATAAAGAGCTTTGGGCGATTATTCCACGACAATATGTACACCACGCAAACATAAGTTACGCAATTAACCCATTGAAGAAATGGTACTGAAAGAATGCCGTAGAATTGAACAGTAGTCTATCGGCAAAAATACGAATTGCAAGGGTATACAATATTTTTATATACGCAATTCAATGTAAACCAAGGCTATTTACATTTAGAGATTGGAGAGCACATCCGCGCGCAAACCAACCAACGTGGATGATAATCTTTGTAAGGTTTTTTCCACGACAATTAGTACAATGCTCAAAGGTATGTTACGCAATTAAACCCTTGTTGATGAGACAATACTGGAAGAGTGCCGAAGAATTTGAACACTAATCTATCGGCAAATTTATGAGTTGCAAGGGTATACAATATTTTTGTATGCGCAACTCAATGTAAACCAAGGGTTTTTATATTTTCATTAAGGGTTTGGAGAGCACATCTGCGCGCAAACCAAACAACGTGGATGATAATCTTTGTAAGATTTTTCCCACGACAATTAGTACCACGCTCAATCATAAGTTACACAATTACACCATTGTTGATGAGGCGGTACTGGAAGAATGCCATAGAATTGAACAATAATCTATCGGCAAAAACTACGAGTTGCAAGAGTATACAAAGTTCATATACGCAACTCAATGTAAAACCAAAAATACCAACAAAAAACTATTTAATCGCATAAACATAGGTACGCAATAAAAGAATTGTTGATGAAGCGGGACTGGAAGAAGGCCGTAGATTTGATATTAATCTATCGGCAACCATATTTTTAACCAGTTGAAAAAGTATACAATAATTTTAGTATACGCAACTCACTGTTACGCCAAAGCTAGTAGTATTTAAAAACATAAGAATATGTTATACATACGTAGCTGAGAATTGTAAACAATATGACTACCTTGGCAGGCAAACGATTGTAACACAATTCAAAATGGCGGCGAACAACAATATTTTGGCGGGAAAAAAGACAAGAGTCTTTTCACGCCTAATTAATTCACATAAAACTACACAACATGGTGAAAGTAATATGAAAAGAATACATCACCCATCGCAGATCAATTTTTAAGATTGTAGACAAACTGAAGGTCTAAAATTAATCCAAAAGGAGAGCTCCGCTTGGACACGTCCTAGCTGTGCTGCGACAAGCAGTGATGTGAAGATGACCTTAGGTGTCATCAAGGTCACAGGACAGCGACGGAAGGCCACTGATTGGGACTTGAGAACAACAACTTTATTTCTTCACCCAGGACCTTCGCAGCGCTGTCCTTCTAGTTGTCGTAAGTAAGCAGTGAATGCATTAAGGAGTAATGCAGGATAAGTAAAAAATATACATTTTTGACTATTTATAACAATCAAAATGATTAAAATGTGAAAAATCATTGAGTAATCGCAGACATTTTTCAAGAACTAAACTTGCTAAAACTTCACAAATGAGGTATACAATTTGAAATTTTGAGGACAGTTTGTTCAGCTCCTCTCAGAATCTTGTTACAAATTTTAGTAATGAAAAAAACTTCATAGTAGGTGAATAAAGGGGAACTAATCCAGGTTTATGTTCCTGGACTAGTTCCCCTTTGACACTGGACATACCTTGTGAAGGGGCCTCCACCATAGGCACTTTGGTTTATCGTACCACCAAACCCATAGATTGACTGTGATGCCTGTGACAGGTCGGTGGGCTGAAATGTCAGAAAACATTTCATTTGGTCTAGTGTACTCAGCTAATAATAGACCACAGATTTTCACTAAAAGTTACTGTAAATAGTGTGTGTCTGTGAATGAGTGTGAGTGTGTGAGGCAGGGTAGCCAAACATACCATCTTTTAATGTTTTTTGGTATGGTGAGGCCAGATATAGAACCACCGACCGACGCCCACGGTAATAGACTTTGCACAATAATCTTGACACGATGTTAAACCCCATTTCACCTCACCTCACAACAAGGTCACCCTTCTAAATACTGACCTCTCCAAGCCAATGTGGTCAACTGAGGCCTAACGTATTTACCTCATACAAGAAACAGACACTGGAAATTGGAGTCCTTCCTACAGAACTTATCACAGGAGTGAAATGGCAACTGTAGACATAATACAGAGAATAAGAGCACTCCCCTTATTTATATACTTATCCCTCGAAGACAGTATGCAATATTCCTTCTTGCTTCGATTTTATAACAGTGTAGAACATTGTGAAAACAATAATAAACTAAACACACCCTCCGACCACCTCGCTCCTGAACTACTCATCCCTTTTTCCCATTAACGACAGGTGACAAGAGGATCCAAACGTTGAGGGGATGGATGGGTGGTCAGTCATTCGGATATTTTTTAACTTATCCCTCCACTCCAGTATGCAATTATCCCACAGTAGGACAGCGGGTTGGATCAACTGCACATCCGTATTTGCATTTGAGTGGGAGGGCCAGAATACAGACTAGACTAGACTAGACTGAAAAAAAAAAGCCAGGGGTCATTAAACGAGTTGTAAGTAATTTACTTCAGCAAGTGTATCGTCCTGTATCAATACAGAAAAAATGTATCATGAATCTGATCGTCAGATGGTGCACCGATGTATCGTTTGTGCCCTATGAGTTAATGTCCGAGACATAACTGGCATCGGTACCGCCTGTCAAATGTTTCAAGAAAGAAATCAGCCATGAACAGGGTAGAATCCACAGTAGTATCCATATCATGTTGACGAAATAAGCCTCGAAAGATAACCTTTTCTGGTCATATAAGGAGGCTGTAGAAGGGCAGTGCGTAGCTGTTAATGCGTTCTGCAAATGGACCACACTCGTAGATACCACGACTCCAGGCACGGGTGTGGTTGATGAGTGTGTGGTTTTCCGATCAGACTGGGAAAGGTGGGGAGTTTAAAGTCCCATGTCCGACTGGGCCAATAAGGCGCGACCAAAAGAATCTGGTTGTTTACTGTAGATGCCAGTTTTTTGAGAACATGGGGAAGGAGCGCCAGAGGTGGAAATGCAAACGCATGTAGGCCGTTCCACTCGATGTTGAGTGCGTCGAGATCCCAAGCAAGAGCGGTCATGATGATACAAATGTCTGAAGCTGGTGGTTGTAACGTGTGGCGAACAAGTCAACGTTTGGGTTGCGGAAGGTCAGGCAAATCATCTGGAAAACATCCGGGTATAACTGCTGCTCCATGGGAGCTGACTGACTGGGGCGAGAAAAGCCCAGAATGTGAGGAGCTCTCACCTCCAACGGGATTTCGACTATGAGATGATAGAACGCCAACATGAGGTCCAGGAGAGTCTGTGCGTGAGTGGATCCCTGTCGGTTGATATAATGAGCGGCCGAGACGTTGTCCATCGTTGGTCTGAATGGCCAATATGGCTGCTTGGAACGCCAGACATTTGATGTGCCTGTGAAAAAAAAGAGGGCAGTCCAAAATCCTGACGCCCAGAGGCCTCAGAGATGGGCCCAAACCCTTCATTTGATGCATCCAGAAACAGGTGGTACGTAGGAACGAAGACAGAGACTTTCGACATGAGTGTCCATCAATGGAGGTAAGGTGTGCCAGAAAAATGGGGACATGAAAGTAGGCATCCTGGAGGCCGAGTGAGGCCAGAAAGTCGACAGGTTGGATGGTAAAATCCCGGAGTAAGATCCGTTGGAGATAGGAGTTCTAAAGCCCCCTTGTCCTTAAAGGATCCGAATGTTGTCCTGTAAAGGCTCCAAGTGCGCATCCGGGTATGGTAGTTGTAGGGGGAACAGAGGTGGTTGTGCAATTAAGAGTATTATTTTTCCAGAACAACTGGAGGCGACCGCTGACAGGAGAGTCATGAGGAGGGGCAACTGGTAAAGAGTGTCAGATAGCGCCGGGTGCCGGAGAGTCGTCCAACGCCCCTGTAACCAGCACCCGAGGAGGGCTGAGTGCGACCCCTTGACAACAGGGAAGAGAGAATTCCTGAACCTTGTTATTGAAGAGCTTCTCGGATGACCAGGGTTGACGTCATAACGCAAACAAGAGAGACGGGCGCCAACCAACCTCCTCAATATAGGCCTGGTGACACATAAGACAGAGGGAGCCTGTGGCCTGCATAAGGAGCTGAACTAAGTCCTCCAAGACAAATGATTTCATCCAAAAATGAGAGCAATTCTCTCAAAACATTCTCTTTATGAACCAGAGCCTGGGTGAAGGTAGTAGCGGCAATGGTAGGAGGGACAAATGAATGTCAGAATCAATGGACATAAGGGATCTATCATCTGTCTTGAGGTGCGAGGATGTGGAACGACCCAAAGTTTTAGCATCATCTGCATCAAAGTGAGGTGCGGAAGTTGGAAATATAAAATCCCATGTAATTTAAAGCGGGACGACGTGATGGGGGTTGGGGAAGCGAACCCTTAAGGGCTACCTTATCCAAAGCCTGCTGCGCAGGAATACCGTCGACCAAATGATGACCATGGACTATGTAAGATGGCGTAGTGCTCTGGGATCGAAAGAGCATTTTGCACAAGTCAGTGAGACAGGCTCCTCAAGTTCAAGAACATCCATGATCCAAACGATCTGATCCTTAGAGGTGTAGAGTGGATGCTCCTCAGCTTTAGAGGCAGCCACGCTAGGCGCCGAAAAATAAGAAGACGCCCTCAGCAAAGAACACACATGCTTGGAAACCCTGTCAGGAGATGGCGAAAGGGATCGGGAATGACGAGCAGGAGAGCCAGAAGCCCAAGCATCCCGAGATGCCTGATCAGGTGTGACAGGTGACGACTGAAGTAGGGGGGTAGCCCGAGGAGACGGCAATGTGGCAGAAGAACTTGATGTGAATAAAACGGGGTAGGCCAGGTGGGGGCACCTGGAATGGCTGTGGACAAGCAGGGTGATAACAAAACATCTAAGGCTGATAATCCTGTAGCCGCACCTGTATACAATGTCTAGTGAGGCACGTGGAGAAGCGCTTGAGGAGGCACCTGCTCCAAGTGAGGATGGGCTAGGAGAGGAGCCGGAAAGGTAGGTGGCACCTGGCTAGGTGCATGCACCTGATGGCTCCAGATTGACTGACACGATGGGATGCTAGGTGGGACTTGCCAAGAGACATCAGTGGCAGACGACAGAAGGCAAGGTGACATCACACCAGAAGTAGTTATGACAGGTGCCATCGTAGTATCCGTGGGACAAGTTCTGGAGCAAACAGATATGAGGGGTTCAAAGTCTGGCACTGTAGTTGTTGGCTAGCCCTTTTCCGAAGTTTAGCTAGGTAAACATTGTAAAGGTCGGAGGACAAGTAGGCACACTCAGAGCACCGCTAGTCCAAGGAGCAGGTGACCCTGCAGTCAGGGCAAAGTCTGTGGGGATCATGAGCCGATTTCTTCCAATGGCTCTCAACAAACACTTTCGAAGATGGCCAGGGTTCTCGTCTACCCCAGACACCATCTCCTAAATGACCACATCATCCATAATATCTCATAAACAACAACAAATATAAAATAAAATGGTAAATATCCCGAACATTAACTGAAAGGCAGCTGTTCGCGTTTATACTAGGGAGGTATAAAAACACGAGAAACGGAAACCAAAATGAAGCATTCACGTGCCGAAAATTATGTTAACAATGGCAGGTGGGTTGGTTTGTTGTTTTACGCCGCACACAGCAATATTCCAGCTATATGATCCAGCTATTATGGTCTGTAAATAATTGAGTCTGGACCAGCCAATCCAATGATTGACATCATGAGCATTGATCCACACAATTGGGACCGATGACATGCATCAACCAAGTCAGCGAATGTGTGCGGAAGGTAAGTAGCCGTTATTTCATATATCTATTGATAAGGAACGGCTAGGGACCTGTAGCTAAATGTAAATAGGAACATATTCAATTCAAACCGAAATGACAAACAAATCCAATCATAAAGTGAAGTGGAAGCAAACACGTCTGTTCACTACGGGCGATCTTGGGAAAACATGATGAGTAGTACAGGAGCATGCTGGAAGTGAAGTGGTCGGAGGGTGTGTTCCTGTGATTGATGTTTTCCCAATGTTCTACACTGTTATATAATCGAAGCAAGAAGCAATATTGCATACTGTTGTGGAGGGATAAGGAAAAAATAATTGTTTAGGAGCGCAGACTGATGCTTCCTTTGCAAGACATATAAAACAAGTTATTATAGTAAAATCACAGATTTATAGAAAATTCAGACAAAAATGTCAGTTGCTAACTCACTGTTCCGCCTGAGCTGTCACCAAGAAGGTTACTCTGATTTTTCTTGACCACACTAGGGTCGAGGTGCAGAAGCGAGATAGGTGTTACATCATTCCCAGACTCATCAACCACCTGAAATTATACAAACACGTCATCTACAGTACTTCTTCATCTTGCCAGGGGATACAGATAATGAATCCTGAAAAATAAAAAACTCTATAAAATATAAAAGGTCCAAGACGCTTACCACTTTAATGAAGCCAACGAGCATGGGTATGGTGCTGACAAATCTTGACACATGAGGGTGAATCATGGATTTGAACCCCTGATTCTGGCATGAGTAAGGGACATAACTCTGCACAGCAAATTGTGGTGCCTTAGACTGGGCAACCCATGCCCCTCCTGAACAAATATGTGATGTTCATTGAAATACATGACTAAAGTTGCACTGAAGGAGAGAATGCATGTATTTTTATCTCTCAGATCATGATTCAGCTAAATAATCTCGTATGTACTCTATAGGATGAAGAAACCTATCACGTCATTTTTTTTCAGACTTGTCAGATTCAATTTGTGCTGATATGACAATTTTCATCGAATTCTGAAAAAAGTCCATACTTTTCAAAAGAAGAAACAGGATAATAATCTACTAAATAATGAAATTATAAGTGCATTATTCATATCTCATTTAATGGAAAACAATAACATAATACAAAGAACTGATTATTTGGCATGAATGTAAAGAGATATGCCATTAAAATCTCACCTGAATAGGTATCTTTACATTGACTGACTTCTCGCTGGCTGCCACTCCGACACTCTTTCGACTGGCAGAAGACACCAGGTTGCTTCTGGAGCTCCCGAAGACTGTGTTCCGCGTTCCACCCCCATACTTGCTTCTGGTCATGGAATGAGTGGCATTGCTCTTCTTAGATGTTGTGCTCTGCCCTGGGTTTTGCTGCATGCTTAAACATTGAATAATGGGAGTGTAATGATATACCAAACTGTCAATGTATTGCAATAGTTTTTCCTATGATTGTACTATACAGATAGGAATTTTAAAATATTGTCGAAAGTAATCATGACAATCTATAGTTTCAATAGTCACTATTAGTTATAAGTAAATTAAATTATGCATCAGTAAACTAAGTCTTTACGTTTAATTTCAAACCTGCCATGCTGATTAGCAAGGATTACAGTACAACTTCAGATTAGAGTTACTTCCCTTTGGTTTGGGAAGCAATAGGGAGTAAAATGGCTAACTTTGACATTGTCAGCAATACTTCATATTCATTATTATCACATAGATTAATATAATTATCAAGCCTTAAAGTTGGTTTAATACTATCGTAAAACTATTATAATAGTGGGGGGTATTGTTGCAATACAATTGCAATGGTGAACATTGCCCCAATCACATTGTGACCGCTCTTGCATAATGATAAAGACTACAAGATCAACTCCATATTTTTTCTTAAAACATATTAATAAACAACTTTATTCAAGTCTATAAAGACAAAACAACAGAGAATCTACCACTCATAGAAATGTTTAGGAGTGGCTTCTGGAATATGAGTGTGCCAGTAACAGTTGAACAGGAAGATCCATCTTGACCTCAGTGAAGTTGAGTGTACATCATTTTACCATGAGCCAGATAACAAGCAGTTGTTATTCAGAATGTTTCACCCTTCCTTTTCACTGAGATAGATAGACCTCTTTCCATTTCTGAATCTTCAAATTTTATTCTGTTAATCTTACTGTTCATTCAGTCATCATTTGTTGTGTTTAGTTGTTCAAAATTTCAGTTACCTCCGGCTACATGTAACGAATAATGTCAGGATAAAAATATGATTCTAAATGCAGTCTGGGTGAGTCTATTAGCCCGAACTTGTCTCTTGGCACTAGTCTGAGTAGATATGGACTAGTATCTTTTCATATCTTACTAGACCAGAAGAAATTTTACTGGTCTCAGTCTTCGGACTAGACTGTCCCTATGTTCTTCAGGCACCTGGAGCTTAATTTAACTAAACCATTATGATTTAAACAGTGCCTTCGGCACTCAAATGCAATAAATTGTAAACACTTAAAACATATTTAATTTGATCAACTGACAGTTCCTATTTTTAACCACTGGCCCTCACAAAGTCACATTCTTACTGTTCTCATCATAGCAGCCATTTTGAAATCCTATCAGAATTTGGAGAAGATATTAGTGAAACTAAAGGATTCAGCTTCCGGTCACTCGCAACTTTACAGGTCATTTCCTATAATCAAATCCAGGTTAGAATTTGAAACGCATGTATGTTCTAAGCAACTGCATACTCAGTATTAACACTGAAGCAAAGTTAAATCTTAATTCACTCACCAATACTCAGTGTAGCAAGCTGCGTATGGATACATTCAAAAGTGGCTGTATGATAGTCGGAAAAGAGGAACATTTAACATTGCTTCAGGACTGATCTACTTATTATCAGAGGCTGATATTTAGGTCTACAACAGATTCAGCATAAATTCCGAAATATGAATTACAAATTCTCTCTCTCTATCAGGCCGTGATATTTATATGTTAATATTGTTACCAGTGATGGGTAGTGGCCTGACCTTCATATTCTAATTTATTGTAATAACGATTCATAATTGTATTGCGATATGAACCACAATATATCGCATGTGTTCTTTCATCTGTTGCATAAGACACCTGAATGAAAGATAACCTTCCATCTCACATTTTTGACAACTTTGTAATTGTTCATTTTTTTGGTGGATGTTGCTATGGTCACAAAGCATGTGGTATAGACCCATTATATTCAGGAAGTTGGTCACGAATAGTTTCGCTTCTTCAATCACTGAAAACAGTTGCTAATTTCTGAATATCAAAATTTCAAATCGATTGGTCTCTTATGTAAACTTTTCCAACAAGACAAAAATATGCATGATTTTGAAAATTGCAATATACAAGTATTTTCCAAACGTACTGTGACACGTATTAAAAAAATCACCTTAGTTAAAACTAATGTTATGGCTTTGTAGAGATGGCCCATATATCACTGATAACATGACTGATAAGTGAGTGAGTGAGTGAGTGAGTATGGTTTAGCGCCGCTTTTAGCAATATTCCCGCAATATTCCCGCAATATCACGGCAGGGGACACCAGAAATGGGCTTCACATATTGTACCCATGTCGGGAATCGAACCCATCTCTTCGGCATGACGAGCGAACGCTTTAACCACTTGGCTACCTGACCGCCCCTAAGACTGATAAAGAACAAGAGAGTTTTAATGTTCAGTTTTACATTATGGCATTGAATTCAATGTTACAATACCTTTGAATTCAAGACAAAAGAAGGTAAAACACGTTTTTCCCAATTTGACTTCCAAGGGCACTTAGTTTGGAAGCCTCCATACATTCCTGCTGATGAATGCAACTGCATATGATGTTTGGGCTCCAACACTGAACGTTTACAAATTAAAAGCCTGCATAAATTGCCTCTGCTAAGGTGTTGAGAAGGAGACTGATAATCTTGTTTGAAAAAGAAATCCAAATTCAATTCCTGATCAATCATTAATGAGAATTGAAAAATAATAATATCTGTTTTTGTCATGTAAATATCAATAAAATAGCAAATGTCTTGACTTTTACTAAACTCTGCAACATAATCACATCTAGGCAACATTGCAACAGTGCTTATATATTTCACTCACAAATTCATCAAAATTAACTTGTATAATTGGAAGGAAATGGATTGCAGATATCATGATTAATTCCTTGGTTGAAAGCTAAAATCAATCAATCAATAATTGATGAAATTGATTAACTGGAACCATGCTACACATGCTCTTGTCTTGTAACACCATCATCTATGCCATAACACAAAAACAATTATTTTCACATTTTACTTTAGATTGAAAATGAATAATTAAAAGCCACAACTAGTGTTGTTATGCTACTAACCTTTTATGGTGCAGTCTACTATTTTTGTCTCTACGCTTAGTGTATTTCCTTCTTGATATCATGTCGTGAGTGAGTGAGTGAGTTTTGGTTTTACCTCGCTTTTAGCAATATTCCAGCCATATCATGGCAGGGGACACCAGAAATGGGCTTCACACATTGTACCCATGTCGGGAATTGAACTCGTGTCTTCGGCGTGACGAGCGAACGCTTTAACCACCCAGCTACCCAACCGCCCCTGATATCATGTCTATAGTTTCATGTTTCATACAGTCTTACAGGCTGTGCCATAAACAGTTTTGAGTCAAATAGCCCAAACTTGGCTCTTACCATCATTTCTTTGTTCACTTTAGTGTTATCATATGGATACATAAATAAACAGAGCTTACAAGGCAGAACAGAACTAGTGGCTAAAGTCGCAAACTCGTTTTATCTGGCACAAGGATACTCATGTATGCGTTCTCACCCATTATGCATTTGTTGTCAACCAAATCTCGACTTTGACACTGATGATTTACATTGGTCTCTTATGTAAACCTTTCCAACAAGACAAAAATATGCAGGATTTTGAAAATTGCAATATACAAGTATTAACTAATTAGTGTTTAATGTAACAGTCACTAAAGCAAACGTTTAAGGTAAGAATCAATATTTTTTACTTAGTGTGCGACTGTGAATGATACTTGTATCGAGGAGTAAAAAAGTCATGATCCACCGATGCATCAGTGTATCGTCAAACTACCAATAAATCGTATTACTACTTATCTGTAACTTAGCAATATACTTATGTATTACACTTTATCAATTTATCAGGCAAACTTTTCAATATATTCAAACCTATTATTTTATCACATAAAACTTTAACTTGATACATTTTTACATGATTAAATAATTTATCATCACTGGCATTTCTTATATTGCATATAACTAATTATCATTTTACTTTGCAAGTACTTACATGTATTATTTGTGCTCAACTGTATTATTCTTACTGTAGCATTTGTGCCATACTATTTATCTATTATCTATAGTATGACTCTATATTATCGCAGGCTATTTATCTATCTATACTATAGTATGACTATATTATCACGGGCTCTATATTATCGCAGTATTGGTAAATCTCGTAATCACACCCCCTGTCGAATGTTTACTTATGCAAATTTAAGCATGATATATCATCTGTTGATTAAATACAAGACTCGTTGCTTTATGTCACAGCTACTTGTAAGCATACACGTTAACTTTTTTATGATAGTTTCTGATTTGAAATGTTTTTAAAGTGGAATTACCCCTACCTCCATTTTGGAAATTGATTTAAAAGAGTAAATTTGTTTGTACAAAGTCCCATGACTCAACCTAGGTTGTATGCATAGCGAATATGCATAATCCAAAACAGGAAGTGATGTAAAGCTCATATTCACACGCATCATACCACAAAATAGCCATATATATACAGTTGCCTGCCTTTGAGTTGATAATGGCAGGCACTTTGTTTACCAAACTGGGTAAAGAAAATCAGCATCGATCAATCCTAATTGTTGTGCCATGAAAGTTGAACAAAGAACAAGAAACATTTTTGGTATGACATAGTTAATAAGGTAGTAAGCGTGCAACATTACGATACATCTTAAATTAACTACAGTGATAATATAGCATATCATGCTACATCAGCCAAATAAATCTAGTCATTTCAGTACTGTTGTGGTATTTAATTCTATTTCATTTCAAGTTACTTTTCATTTTGTTCGTGTAACTGACCGTTAAACAAAACATTTCCACTGTGTGGAAATCAACAGCAAAATTACAAATATTATTCCTGTATCGATACTGCTAAACATATTTCAAGATTTGTTCATTTTACACAGTTCACAGAGAATACTTCGTTCATATTTAACCATAAAGAAAACACTTTCGAAGTTAACCAAAATTTTGAACGTCATTTGATGTTTATACCCCCAGTACCCCGACAGTACCCCCTAACATTCGTTACCATCGCCTTCAAAGGTGAACAAAAAATACAAAATATTGTCAGAACTCTAGTCATAAGTTTACATAGAAGAAATAACACCTTCAAAAGGAAAATGTTAACCGGGGAGAATGACATAATCAGAATTACCCAGGTCCGAGATGTTTTTTGGGCTTCCCGGTAGACATCTTCCCAAAACTACGAGCTCTCTTTTAGAATTCTACGTTCAAACTATGCATCACAGGCAAGATACGCCATTGTGGATATGTTGCTATGAGAAACGGGCGGTCAAACGCTACGACGATTTTCATTGGCCAGAAAGAAAATGAGTTCGCTTCATTAAACAACGCAAAATATTAAACAATTCAATGATAACACAAATATGCCTCATAACATTATGTAAACTAGGAAACAAACTAAATTATAGCATAAATATGTCCAAAATAAAGTAGTATTTGAAAGTATTTTGCCATTTTATAATTTTTATTGGGAAGTCAATAAAGCCAATCAAATGATCTCTTACAAAATAAATACGCACGTCAGTGCCCGATTTGGCCTCGATTTGAATCTATCCCATAATTGTGGGAAAATGGCGGAGGTTTGTGGCTTCATAATATGTACATTTGATGGAATTTCCTTTTGATCTCGTCTCGACAGATTTTATCAGCTTCGCGATTACTGTTTTTTGCTTGATTAGTGACTTATTATTTTATCGCTGGCTACTCGGCCCGACATAAGATGAACTGGTCGAGTTTACTGATGTTTCTGATCCGTCAAATCGCGGGAAAGATTTGACATCACTTGCCGGGATTTGTTTTGCATTGACAACGCTTAAGATGACCTCGATGACATGTATTTTTAATTTGCACCAATTAATTTTGATTTTTATATCTTTTTCAGCCGGCAGGGAGCGAATCTAGCAGCCCTGGTAAGTGCACTGTGAAATTTTCATGACTGGGATCTCCCGCGTGCAACAGCTTATGCAAATTAGCTTCGGGACATTGACGGGGATAGCCCCCTCTGACGTGTGTGATTGGTGCACGTCAGGGTTTCCCCCTTTGTCGGAATTACTTACGTCAGGTTTTATAAGTAAATTATCAAAGATGTTTTAGTTAAACTACTTATGTTTTAAGTTGAGAACTTTCATGAGGTAGCAATACTCAGGATAAAAACTCCGCGGTACAAAATTTGACAGCTAGCCCACCTGGTCTCTCTCTTAGGAGGTGTCATGTATGACTTGTCAACTTTAGACGAGATCTACTGAATAAAGATAAAAAAAAATCCAGTTCCAATTTCAACAAATTGTATGATGATAGAAGATGATAGATTATCAACATCCTTTTACCGATAGTTTTCATCAACATGTCTCTTGATCACAACTATATTATTTTTTCAATGTTCAAACTTCCTCTTTCCTACTGTTAATGTTATATCAAAGCTATCACATGAGTGGGACTTTGGATGCTTTACTAGTTTCACCTTTTATTATTTTTATTATGATTGTAATGACTATTCAGCATAGAATATTAATATGACACTGAAATAATTGACACATTTCCCAAGTGCAAGTAATGAGACAGTAACTAAACAATTGAAATGTGTATCTTTACAATTTTTTATGACTGTCATCATTTAAAGTTTTGAATTGAGCCAGGTAACAGAAATAGGGACTTTTCAGAATGAGTATTGATTTCATTGTACGCTGTGTTTGCTTTGGCATATATAGTAATGAATGCTGGATGGATGTGTAGTAATGAATGCTTGGGCCATAATTGACAGTTCCAGCAAATTGGATTCAAGCCCTTTGAACACAACTCTTTGACTGCTAGATCAATTTTTTGGTGTATGTGTAAATTTTGTTGTTAATGATTTTCTGAATTGCATAAATACCTTGTCTCGGTTTCATACATGGACAGCAGTGGAGATTCTGGGTCCCCAGCAGACTCAGTTGGCACTCCTTGCAATGTTAAGCACTAAACAGACCATGAAGCCTTGGAGCATAGTTCCACTACCAAACTCAAAGATTTTGTCTTGACATGATTTTGAAAACATAAAATTGCATTTGTCTCGACTCAAAGTGTGAGAAGCATCAAATTCTTCTTCAATGCTGAACTCGTAATATTGACACTCAGTGTTACTCTTATTAACTTTGAATGTCATTTGTATTATAGTACTTGGTATTTGAATCAGACACCCTTGGTCTTTAGCTTTTAACCGTTGAGCAATGATAATGACAAGAACTTTCGTGCTTAAACCTGAAAACTGGTTTGTTTTGTAACCCTACCTTTTTCAGTTATTTGACCTTATGATACAATATTTGCATTGTGATAAATATAGTACCAACATTTTACCATTAAAAGTTGTCCCTTTTTGCTGCCGGAAACCACTTGTGATTTCAAGTCAAGTTCATTGTCTTCACTGAAATGCTAAATAAGTGGCAACCCCAGCTCATAACAGTGATATTTTAAGTTAACATGGTTAGTTTTTTTTTCAGAAATAAACAGGAAATGATTAATGTACTTTCTTTCATGCATTTGTAGAGACTGACAAAGACTTCGATCCATCGGCAGACATGCTAGTTCATGACTATGATGATGAGCACACACTAGACGAGGAAGAAGCCCTTAGTGGGGAAAGCTGTTCTAATGAACTGGATGATCTAGCAAAGGTAAAGCTATTATTGATGCAATCTAGCATTCCTAGTTACGTATGTGTGTTGTGTAGGTCATGGGTGGCACAGTCATCGACAACCACTCACTCACTCATTTGTGTGATGCAAGTGAGTTACAAGGACATCCCAACTTTTTTATTTGTCTAAGGTGCCACGAATTGCTGTAAAGAGTTTCGTCCCTTTGAGGTGCCAGAAACTGATGATTGTAGGTTTGAATCCAAATTTGCCCAGATTATGTTTCCAGGTTTGTCAGCACCATACCCATGCTCATGGGTTTCACCATTTTGGTAATTTCAGCTAAACATCTAAGACTTGCATCACTTCTGGCTTTCCTCCAACATCCAAACCGACACACCATGAAAAACCGAAATAATTAAATTTTGAAAGTGGCATTAAATAAAACTCAATCACTCTTGGGTTCATGTGTCATGTCACTTGATTGTCTTTTGTCTATTTATTGCGCTACTGTGACAGAAGACATATGCTTCCTCATGTTCATTTTGTTTTTCTCAAACTTTTAAGAGTTGTGCATGTTTTAAAGAGATCATAGTCAAATAGTCCAGATCTCATTCTTGACCTATGGCCTATGTAACATAAGGAGCAGTGGGGAAGTCGTGTAGTTAAAGTGTTCACTTGTGAAGCCCAATTTTCATGTTCCCCAACGTGATATCACTGGAATATTGCTAAAAGTGGTGTAAAAGCATACCTACTCACATAACTAGACACCATTCATTGATATTTACCAGTTGTCAACAGCACATTTTGGACTGGTGGTTTATGTAGAATAAATAGAAATTGGGAGAAAACAATAAGTCCATCTAGATTTTCAGTCTCAGACTAACAGAATAGTATTGACTGTCCATCCCTTTTGAAACCTATTCCTAGATTTCCGGAATAGAAGTCTTTGGACTACTGGACGAGTGGGTTTGTTTAACCCTGAATAGTATGTAATGATAATACTATTCCTTGAAGACTTTGGTTCGCCCCAATTATGTTTCTAGGTTTGTCAGCACCATACCCGTACTCGTGGGTTTCACCAAAGTGGTAAACATCTGAGACCTGCATCACCTCGGGCTTTCCTCCAACATTAAGCTGACATGCCATAATATAACTGGAATACTGTTAAAAGCAGCGTTAAACAAAACTCACTCACTCACTTGAAGTCTTTGATAAGTTGTAGAACATGAATGTGATGAAGGGCCAAGAATTATCTGAAACATTAGAAACAACAACAAAATGTCGTCTTCTATTTAGGAAGGGGACATGCCCATTGAGGACCTGCTAGCCATGTATGGATGCGGTCAGCCCAATGAGGATGATGCACACGACAACACACGGTCCAGCAGCGAGGAGGAGATTCTAAGTAACCATGACCTTACACTTGATAAAGATGAGATTGCCCGAGATTTGCTCAAGAACAACAGTGAAGCTGATGACAAAGAAACCAGCGTCACAGACCTGTTTGAAACAGTTGCCACGTCACACACAGCTAGGCTTTTGAGATGTAAGTTTTTGAAAATTTGTTTTTAATTTGAAATGCTCATACTCTGTTTGGTCGAGTCTGAGTGATGAAAGCATCTGTTTCCTCTATTTACATTGATTTTAACTATGTTAATTTGCGAAAGTATGCCACAAAGGTATGCTAAGACAGTTATGATCATAGGCTCGAATCCTGGTTCGCCACTATTATGTTCCCAGGTTTGTCTGCACCATACGCATGCTCGCGAGTTTCACCAAAGTGGTAAACGTTTGAGACATGTATATCTTCAGGCTTTCATCCCACATCAAGCTGACACGCCATCATTGGAATTTTACTTGTCCTCAGCACAATATATGCATCTCGGGATAACGGCCTAACAAAAATTTGGAATTCAATTGGCACATGCAGTGAGAAGAACCGCTTTATCTTTAATGTTTATTTTGAAAACCTGACTTGTGTTTAAAAGAGTAGTGTATACTACATTACAAGACTCATGCTTTGTCCACTGCAGCAAGCAGCAGGCCAGGGAGTGAAGATGACTCCGAAGACTCAGAAGAAGATGTCGACTACAAACCAGAACATGATGAAGACTGGAAGAAGGTGAGGCATTGTGAACTATCATGTACCAGGGGCGTCACACCCAGTGAAAGTCCAGGGATTTATCTCAAATTCCAAGCAAAGTGCCCTTGGCAGGCATCCTGGGGAAAAATTTCTTTGAAACTTAGGATTCCCAGCTTGAAATTAAACATTTCCCAATTCATGCTTTTATATATAGTCAAAGCTAATGTTTGGCTTTGTAGAATTGACTATTATTTCACTAATCACAAAACCAATATAGAGGAGTAAGCTTTAATGCTTACTTTAACATTGTTGCATTGAATATAATGTTAACATTCATTATTTTTTTAGAATACCTCTGAATTCAGGAAAATAAGAACTGAACGAAATAATTTTTCCAATTTGCCTGCAAGGGGAACTTAGTTCTAGAAAATCCCTGAGTATTATCTTGCTGTGATATTGCTACAAGCATGATAAGACCAATTTTTAAACTTATCCTATCTCAATCCTTCCATGTCTTCTTCAACCATATGTGGAAACGTGCTTGAACCATGTTTCCAGCTTTTAAAACAAAAACGTTCACCCAAACACACCCCAGCATCTCCATGGTTACGACCATCAATTGGGTCAGTTATGTGCTCCTGTCCACAGTAAGCTTGCTCGAACTGACCATGTGTGTACCTCTGCCAACTCACACTCTTTCTCCTCGCCACTGTGTGTTTACTTGTTTTGACAACTTAAGAGTGTTTTGTTCTGATCCCGCTTCCGTACGAGCTGTCGATCGCTCTCCCTCCTTCAAGATCCACTACATGTTCTGCTCCTACAGCCAATCGCGCAAAGGACAATAGCTTGACTGTTCGTGCCCAGACTACCACCTTGGACGCTCCTGATCGTCACTCTCAAGATCGGAGGCATGAGACTATGCGGGTTCAATGATCATTTCCAACACCCTTCCTACGTTCTGGGCTCCACTGAATGAAGAACATCCGCTGTACTACTGGCTATGTTCACTTTCCACTTCACCATCCTCCCACTAAATGTGCCTTGTACAACAGCAACCCTCAACCCTCTTCTAAACCTAAGGAACATAGTTCATCACTGCACGTGGATCAGGAACATTGAAGCCATTCTTATTTCGACAACTGCATTCAAGTTCAAGCAGATGCCGATATCCAAGGCTAGAATGATGAATGATTCCATTGTCGTCCACTCTGCGATGACCTACTCCTTCAGTCTCACCCTCAGTGGCTCCATCTGTTCCTTGCAACGCTCCATCTCTGCGTCTGGCTTATCTGCAGAAGTCTTTTTGCCAAAGACTACTACCAGCAGGTAGCGAAGACCATAACTGCTGCTCATCGTTCATCTATCATGCGCCTTTGTGATCAGTGGACAGCCTTCGAGACCCTTTGTTCAACTCCTACCTCAGCTTCACCTCAGCATATCGCTAAGTATTAAGATCACCTCTGTTAGCCACCTACCTCGCGGCTATTAACTCATTGTCACCACTTTAGAGGCAAAGGTTTCCTTGGTTGCGGAACTACAATTGCTCATCCGCTCCTACAAACTAGCAGACCAAGCTTCTCGTTTTCAGCCCCCTTCGTGGAACCTGAACGTTATTCTGCAACATCTGGTTTCTTGTGATTAGAGCCACCGGCGAAGGACTTTGAGACTGTCACACTGAAAATCATTTTCCTGTTGTCTCTGGCTACTGCAGCTCGCATTCAATAAAATTCATGCTTTGGATGTCACCAGGGCCCAGTTTGAAGTGGTCGGGCGTTCCTTGGCCTTCATTGGGATTTCATGGCAAAGAATCAATTTCCCGGCCAACCTGATCAGTTATTTACGATTCCCCCACTTTTGTCGATCTTGGAATTGGATGACCATGAAGACCTCTTCCAGTGCCCAGTCTGAACGCTTTGACTGCAGACGCTCCCAAAAAAGACTTTTCCGCTGTCAATTGCATCTACTATGCTCTCCTCTTGGCTTCATTCCATCATCTTTTGCGGGTATATTTTCACTGGGCTACCTCCACCTACTACGTCCAGTCCTCATGAGACTCGAGCGGTTGCTTATACCATGGCTCTACACACTAACTGCAAGTCTGATACAGTTTTCACCTCTCACTACCTCGCGACACCTCATTCCCGGGCGTCCATGGGCTCCACAATTTCGGTCCGTTGGTGTTGGCGCAACAACTGTTTCGCCCCAGATTCACGCAGATAAACTGTTATACACACATGATCCTTGCATGTTTTACAATTGTTAACAGATTAAATCATTGAACATTTACTTTGGTGTTATGTGCTTTTTAATTCTTTTTGGAGGATGGATTAGCTCATTACCTGCGAAGTCACCACTAGGCGCAGCCGTTCATAAACTAAGAATGGTGTCCCAAACCTTTATTCCACTCACCTCTGCCATGGGTATTTTGGTTCGAAGGTCTATGCTATGGAATATTGTTGATCTCTCCGATTCTCTCTTTGGTTAGCCAAACCTGTCACATCTATTGTCCGTGGGTGAAAGTGATGTGTTGTCTTTGAAGAATCAATGTCTGTCCAGCCTACCGTGCATGGAAGGTAGTAATTGACCCAGTTGTTGTCGTAACCATGGATATGCTAGGGTGTGTCCAGGTGAATGTTTTTGTTTAAAATGCTGGAAACATGGTTCAAGCACGTTTCCACGTAGGATCGAAGAAGAAGAAGATATGCCAAGTGTGAGATAGGATAAGTATATAAATATACAATTTATACAAAATTTCCAATACTACTATATTCAGTATTGTTTGTGGGGAGTGCCATTCCATCTCTCTTCAATCAGCTGTGTAGGGCACGGTTGCACAGAAAAGTTGAAAAGTTGCCAGAACCAAATGTTTCATTAGTGCTGGTCTGTCCAACCAACAGTTTAAAAACCTCTGGAAACACTGTCAGAGAAAGATAAAAATAAGGCTGTTATCATGCTGATGTTCACGTTTTTTGTGCAGGTTATACAAGTGGGTCATGATTACCAAGCCGTGGTGCCGGAAGGCCTCAGCAAGTATGGGGATGCTCCAGGTGAGTCAATCTATCAGTATATATACCAGGGATATAAGCACTATTTTTGTCTGTACATCCTGTCAATTTACTTCCTTATAATATTGCGTCATGAATTGTCAGACTGTTATGCCAGTAAAGGGCAAAATCTTTGAGAATACTAGCACATACTTGGCCCTAAGCATTGTTTTCCGTAGAATTCAGTGTTTTAATGTGAACTTTTAGTTGAGGTTAACAGACTGAAGAGAATTTTAATAGACTCAGGCTTAAGACTTGGGACTGGGTTACTAGATACATGAGGATTGTTTATTAGTTTTTGTTTTAAAAAACCCAACTTCGTAAGACATTGATGATGGGTTTTCTTTGGCAGCATATGAAAATGAAGATAGATTGTTGTGGAATCCAAGCAAGACAGAAAATGATACAGGTAAGTTTGTCAGTTTAAAGGGCAAGTTCACACGGAAATGAACCTATTTTTCTTGTACTTTTTCCACATTAAAAGTGTTAACCTAGAAGTGTCATAGACAAAAATATAAAAATATCACAATTAATTAACATATTTTTCCCATTAAAACGATTTATATTTTTACACATTTACCAGGTGTTCTATTTCCACAACAAAAACACCATGGCTTATGCCCCTTGCAATATGACATCATTGGTGCCAATTGATAAACATTATGACGTCATTATGCTTTGTTAGAGCCGCTTCACGTGGTGTAGGTCCAGGTGTGTGATTCTAGCGTCTCAGATGCCAGCCAGGATAGTGTTATGCTGAGTCACCACTGCGCCGGAGTGTGTCGTAGGCCCTGTTGTTTTACCTCAAACTGGTACTTGATATCTTTTGCGTTGGGAATAGACAGGGACCCAGTTGAAATGGCACCAATTACGTCATAATCTAAGGGGGATAACTCAGGCCTGTTTAGCTCGAAAAACGAAGGCCTCATAACGGCATATCATTTTCACACTATTGTGAGCTTCCTACTTTCACTGTGAAAAAAATGAGTATATTTTCAAACACAGATACTAATTAATTCTAAAATTGCGTTTTGTTTAGAAAAAGAAAGAAAGTGATTTTTGCGTGTACACTTCCCCTTTAACACTAACAAGTAATTTTCATGTTTAATTTCTCAACTGATAGCCAACTATCTTTGTGATTTTGTGTTATATGGGGAGGGACATTGGTAAGTAGTGTAGTCTAGTGGTTTGCTTGTCACACTGAAGACCTGGGTTAGATTCCCAACATGATGTTGCTTGAATATTTTTAAAGCAGCGGAAACACATTCTCAGTCAACCATAAATTTGTGTCCCTTGAGCACTCAAGACACCTCTGTTTGTGGGTTTGAATCCTTGTTTGCCCCTATTAGCTTTTTATTTTTGGCAGCACCATACTGGTGCCCATGGGTTTCACCAAAGTGGTATATGTCTAGACCTGCATCCCTTCAGGCTTTTCCTAACAGATTAAGCTGACAGTGTTGTAACAGGAATACTGTTCAAAGCAGTGTTAAACCCAACTCACTCACTCATCCCTAAATGAATCTGTCAGTAATCTTATTGCTAGAACACCAATGACATGTTGATTTTTGCATATTGTAGTGGAGAAGTATTTAAAGGATGTACACGAACAGAACCTCCAGAATGCCCAGGGTGTAAACTGCATCCCAACAGGGACACATGTCAGAGACGATGAACAGGTGAGCATGTGACCCAGCTGTCTGAACACCAAGCTGTAGTGTTGTAATCTTATGAAAAGTTAGACAAAAGGCTGCTGTAATCTGGGTGTGATGGGTGTCTCAAAGTTATTATGAAAAAAATATATATTTCAGAGAGGGGCGGTGGGGTAGTCGAGTGGTAAAGCGTTCGCTCGTCATTCCAAAGACCCAGGTTTGATTCCCCACATAGGTACAATGTGTGAAGCTCATTTCTGTTACCACCCCACCCCACTCCCCCTTATGATATTGCTGGATTTCCCACATGGTTCCTCTTTCCCTCCTCTCTCTTTCTTAGCCCCCCCATCTCTTCTCTCTCACCCCCCCTGTAAATGTGTCCAGTGTCCACAATTGAGGATGAAAGTCAAGGTGTCCTTGCCATGACCCTAAAGTTAAAAATGAAAGATTTAGGGGTCCCCAGATTCTTTGCTACAGCAGCAAACTTTGAAGACCCCAGGACCCTATTCCACAAAGCAAGCGTAGCGCTATGACTATTGGAAGTCAAAAGGAAAGTATAGGAAGTACGTCTGTTTCAGTGTTAAACATGCTTTGTGGAATGGGACGCCAGAACCCCATTTACCTTCCAATGCTGATCTTCATACAAAGATTTTATTTTATAGCAATGTAAACTGTCTTGTTTCTATTTATTGAAATCTTGCAAGATATATTTGAATCACCGCCTTTTCTCAACATTTATATGGGGGGCACAGGTGGCACAGTCGTGTAAGGCGCCGTGATTCGCTGTGCAGAGTTGCGGTCCTTGGGCAAAAACCTATGATTGTGGGTTCGAATCCAGGTTCGCCCCGATTATGTTTCTAGGTTTGTCAGCACCATACCCGTGCTTGTGGGTTTCACCGAAGTGGTAAATGTCTAAGACATGCATCACTTTGGGCTTTCCTCCCGAATTAAGCTGACATGCTGCAATATTACTGGAATAACGTTAAAAGCAGTGTTAAATCCAACTCACTCACTCAACTTTATATAATGTCAAATTCTTTATTGTTCTAACCAACCCATTGTAATCCAGGCTCTGTATCTACTACTGCAATGTGGGCACAATGTGGAGGAAGCCCTCCGACGGCGGAAAATGCAAGCTGTTCCAACGTCAGGTGAGTGAGCTGCTCCACTTAGTTGATGTTCTGTATTTGTCATGTTTATAGATGCAATATCAGTATTGTTCTGAGGACTTATAAGACATTCATCACAAACAGCCATAACCATAATGGCTGACCATTTATTTGAACTGTCTTGCATGCAAGAATTAGATAGTTAAAATCTGTGGTTCACTTTGGATGAAATTCATAGAATTGATTTTTTGCAGCCTTGACAGTTACATAAGTTATATAAGCTCAGCTGGCCATAGATACATACAACTTTAACAAAGGTGTGATGTCTGTCATCTATATATTTTTTAGATTTCTAGATAATAACGTGACCAAATACCTGATGCAAATTTACCACATGTTTTATTTGATAGGCACTCATTCTTACTTTTGTGATTGCTTCAAATTATATGAAGTGATCATGGTGAGGATATGAGTATGATAGGGTTTCTTTTCATCTAATAGAATTTAATACATATTCGCACCATTCTAAACATTCAGGCTTTATCATTTAGCATTGTTTAGCGGGTTTAGTTAAATAAGTGAATAGATAACCTCATTTCACGTATGGTTAAGATGCACATGCATTTACATTGCAGATCCAATGAGTTTGTGGTCAGAGGAGGAATGTCGAAACTTTGAAAATGGACTTCGAACATATGGCAAAAACTTTTATCTTATACAACAAAACAAGGTAAGATATTTGAACAATCATCTAAGCTGTGTTTATTTATTACCGGTAATAACTAGACAGAATCTTTTGAGTGAATGTGAATCATCCCAGTCAGCATGGGTTAGAATAAGTCGCCAACAACCTGTGCTTGTCGTTGGACTTGTTTGATTGTGAGACGTGAGACGTCTTGCAGCTGAAATATGTTGCTGAGTGAGGTGTTGAACAACAAACAAATCTGAGGATTTATGAGTATAGGCAGACCAGGCATACAAGAGGAAAATGACATCAGCCAATTCTTAAAGATGGTAGTTGATAATGTTAGAGATTCATGGAGCTCTGAACCTTTTGTCTATTACTAATGCTGTCAACATGAATACACTCACTTCAATCAAGTTAGAAATCTATACATATCCTTGTTTCAGGTACGGACAAGGTCTGTAGGAGAATTAATCCAGTTTTATTACTTATGGAAGAAAACAGAACGGCATGATATATTTGCCCACAAAAACAGACTAGAAAAGAGGAAATATGCCTTACATCCAGGAGTCACGTGAGTACTTGTTTCCTGTTTGAAGTGAAGCACCAGAGATGGATAAATTCGCCAGGGTCTGCATTTTAGGTTTTTATCATGATCATCAGCCTTGCATTTTCCATAATTTACTCTCAACCTGTGAATAACTTTCTTACATTAATTGTAAGGAAGCACGTTAACATGTTTAAAGTCAACTTAAAATTTATGCAATCTCATTGAAATCAGATTTTAGAGATCACTACACCAAAAATCGGAGCATTGTCCCTTTACAGGTGATGTCGGACAATCTTTTGTGAAGTTTGACCAACCAATGAAATGACTACTAGGAAGTTAACATTAACCAACCAGAAAGTAGCTTTCTCAAGCTTTCCAGCACTAGTTAACAACATTCAAGACTAAGCCTTGAAAAATATTTTGACAAAGTTCTTGATTCAAAATTGTAAAGTGAACAAAAGAAAATTCAGTAATGTCTTCATAGATGGCCAAGATTATATGGCAGTACTTCCCATGGGCTATGGAAAGTCCCTACCTTATCAAATGTTTATCCTATTGAAGTAAGAGATAGATGATGTATAGCATTTGGAATCAGTTGTAGAGATCGTGACTTGTTCAGAATGCCCCTTGTTAACCGTTTCGATGTTGCATTATTTAGAACACATTAAGACTTTCACATTCACAATCTCGTAAGGGACGCTCTGATTAGTTGGAAGAAAGGTTGTTCTGATGTGACCTGTAATGGGATGTCCTCAGATTTTTGTGTAGCTGTAGTTAGCAGTAAGATCTCATTTTGATGAGATTGCAGAGCTACAGATAAGCTGCGTATTTGCGTAAAATACCCCCAAAAATATTCAAAACCCAATTACTTTTAATTAACTAGTGTACAGAAACCCATGCTTTAAATGAAAAACTCAAATGTATAAAAACAGCATATGTAACTACCCAATGAAGCTTTTTCAGCATGCGTACAATGGAGCTAAGTTCCGAAGCACAATAACAAGCTAATTTACTTTCCAAGTCAAGCCTTTAGTTAGAACCCTTATAATAAAACATTATTATTATTTTTTAAATCTCAGAATGTAAGCTCATTTTGGGAAAAACCCAATAGAGTGATGAATAGATAAGTGACAAAATATTGGTTACTCAATGAGGAATGTAATAACCCAATTAAAATAGAAACTTTCGCGTAAAAACTCAATTGCTCAAAAGTTATCTGGAGCCCTGGATTGAAATGTTGAGCACATCTAGTAGGTTCTGATAATTCAATGTGTTAATCAGAGTTCTTTCTATGCAGCACCACTGAACATTTCTTGCTCTTAGTTTTCATGGTTTTCAAGTGAAGCACTGCTTGTTTCGGTGTATTCTTAGAGAATTCACTAACTGACCAAAATAGGCAATGAGTGTATTCTGTATGAATGAAAGGAAGGCAAAAGTTTAAAACCACACACCAAACAGTTGTAAATATTTGGTATCATTCCACTGTTTTGCCGACAGTGTATGGTAGTGTGATCAAAATATGTCACAAACAGAAGGTAGATCTTACTAAAAGTAAATATTACAGAAAGGTACAGAGAATCTGTGAGTGATTCAGAATCAATCAAAACACAGAGCCATTGAATGAAGAGTAGGCTGTACCTCTCACACTAATAACTGTAGGCTAGAGCCATTGAATGAAGAGTAGGCTGTACCTCACACACTAATAACTGCAGGCTAGAGCCATTGAATGAAGAGTAGGCTGTACCTCACACACTAATAACTGCAGGCTAGAGCCATTGAATGAAGAGTAGGCTGTACCTCTCACACTAATAACTGTAGACTAGAGCCATTGAATGAAGAGTAGGCTGTACCTCACACACTAATAACTGCAGGCTAGAGCCATTGAATGAAGAGTAGGCTGTACCTCACACTAAGAACTGCAGCCTAGAGCCATTGAATGAAGAGTAGGCTGTACCTCACACACTAATAACTGCAGGCTAGAGCCATTGAATGAAGAGTAGGCTGTACCTCACACACTAATAACTGCAGGCTAGAGCCATTGAATGAAGAGTAGGCTGTACCTCACACACTAATAACTGCAGGCTAGAGCCATTGAATGAAGAGTAGGCTGTACCTCACACACTAATAACTGTAGGCTAGAGCCATTGAATGAAGAGTAGGCTGTACCTCACACACTAATAACTGTAGGCTAGAGCCATTGAATGAAGAGTAGGCTGTACCTCACACACTAATAACTGTAGGCTAGGTTTTGAATCCCATGTTAGCACTGATTCTGTCTCTTTGTTTGCCAGCACCACACCCATGCTCATGGGTTTCACCAAAGTGGGGAACATGCATGACTTGCATCACTTTGGTCTTTCTCCCCACATTAAGCAGACAAACTGTGATATAATTGGAATTCTGTTCAAAGCGGTGTTAAACTCAATTCACTTACTCACTCACTCATCTTAATAAATCCACTAATTTGATGCTTTCTATTTCATTTCAGTGACTACATGGATCGGTTTCTTGATGACCAAGAAGCTGTGAATCCACAAAGGGACAGATCAGCCAGCCCCAACCTTAATTCATTAATTTATGGTGATCCTAAACGAACACACATTAAACAAGAACTTGAAGAACAAGCCTCATGTCCGCCAGAGTCCAAGGAGAAAGTGTCCGAAGTATGTACAGCTTCAACGACAGCTGTAGCCCTTAGTCCAGATCGCAAGGGCTCACAGTCCAAATCAGAGTCTGTCTCAGTGAAAATTGACACTAATTTAAACGGCAGTGCTGAAGACTTACACGAGCCCCCTTCCAAAAGGCTGAAGTCTGAAAACAAGGAAAAAAGTATTTCTGAACCTTTAAAATGTGTCTCTGGCAACCATATAGACAGTTTACAAACCTTCCCGTTGAACACCACTGTTAACAGTATAGTAGCCGTTAGCCCAGTTAGTGCACATGAACTCGCAGGAAGTGGAGAGCCAGTGTTGCAGTCACATGTCATCAGTCCGCAAACAATAGAGTCAAGTGAAATGAATCACGTTCAGTGACATCACCACACATTCCGTTACAATCACAATCACATGATAACGTGCAATAAACAAGGCTTTCTCCGTCAAGTTGTTCCAGGCGGATGTGTACCTCAAAATCAAGTATCACAATTTGGAATGTGCTGGTATGTGTTTTGTTACAGACGACAGCAACCTGAATGAGAAGATAACTGAAATTTGTCGTTGGTTTTGTTTGTTTCCAACCATTATGAAACAGCAACCTGAATATTATAGAGAATTACCAACATGCGTCCAAGTCTTGTCGAGATCAAGGCATGCACTCTGGTTACCTCATTACAGTGTTAAATGTACAAGTACATGTCTTACCATTCTAATCATTTCAGCACAAAAGCTAATAGTGCTCTTCCATATTGGAAAGGGCCAGACCTTCACAACAAACAGAAGTCACCTTCACTGCTAATCTAAAGCTTAGCTTTTTGTTGCATTTGCACTGAAGATTTGTATTGTTTCCAGCTTGCTTCAAAAACCATATTGGACCTATTTAACACCCTCAACAGTCAAAAATGTGATCGTTTGATACTCCTTTATATACATGATATCGGAATACAGGATGTCATTTTGACACCATGTTTTTCAGGGTTTCATATCTGTTCATTTTCTTTGACATTTTCTGTCTTTTTTTAAAAAAATGTCTTAAAGATTTTTTTCAAATTTGGTAATCATATCTAAGAATGTATTATCAAAAGTTATCATGAAAATGTTTTAATTTTTAACAAAATTACTGGGTTTAAATGGTAACTGGATGATTCTGAGATGGTATTTCTTGTCTGAAATGTTTAAACATGTTAAAGAAAACGGTCATGTTAGGACAGTCCCTCTGATGAATTTAGAGCAGCCACATTGTGGTACCATAAGACATTAAATTAATTATCTAGGTTGCATGTTAAGAATCTGATGGCACACAGAATACAAGGGCATTAAATAAGTCTAATATGGTAACGATATAAGAAAGATATGATTGAAGTTAATATCTTGAAAATGATATTTGTGCCTTTTGCATTGGGAATACAATGCATGGTGATAAAGTTGTTGAATTCATGGATCACTTTGTAACATGTTAAGTCCTTATACGAGTCAATCCAGGTCGGATAAAATTACAAACTTAACTTGAAAATTTGTGACTGGTTAAATAGACTTGAGATGAAAAAGTTGCTGGTTGCACCATGAGCTGTTGTTGTTAGTAAGTTGAAGACTGTTGAAATGTACAGTGATGGTTGTTGTGTTAAGTATTGAGCTTCCCTGAAGATGGAAGCAAGGAGAAAGGGTACATTCATCTTGGGGGCTAGTTTTAGAAATTATTGCCATTCCCATATCAGGATGTGTCCAATTACTCTGAGGGTGTGATGGTTTCGCTGTCATATGAAGAAAATGTGTTCTCGTATTTTACTAACGCCAACAATGTGATCTAGGCACTAACACCCACGCCTTGCAGAAGCACATTATTGTTTATTATTTGCCCTTCGCATGTGAATTTAGATTGAACATACTTAACCACTGGGCTATACCAAGGCTTTCATTTCCATCGGAGGGGCGGTTGGGTAGCCTAGTGGTTAAAGCGTTCGCTTGTCACACCGAAGACCCGGGTTCGATTCCCAACATGGGTACAATGTGTGAAGCCCATTTCTGGTGTCCCCCGCCGTGATATTGCTGGAATATTGCTAAAAGCAGCGTCAAACCATACTCACTCACTCACTCACTTATTTCCATCGGGGGGCAGTGGAATAGCCTGGTGGTTAAAGCGTATGCACGTAAGGCCAAAGACCCATTTTAGATTTGCCACATTGGTACAATGTGTGAAGCCCATATTTAGTTTCCACACCATGATGTTGATGGAATATTGCTAAAAGTGGCCTGAAACCATACTCACTATCTCATTTCCACGATTCACATACCAACGATGCACAATACTTAGTGATAGTATTTTATCTTTTGTCATGATGATGTATGTGAATCTCACATGGTTAGGATCGCTTTCAGTCACTGTTGTTATCTGAGAATAGCTGCTGTTGCACTGTTTTAGCTAACTATATCTTATCGAAATGTTTCAGGATTTCAGATCAGTTCATTTTCAGGGACACTGTATGAAATGTCCAAAGATATTTTTCAAATTTGGTAATGATGCCGAAGAATCTCTCAAATGGTAATGGAATCATGGAATCATGAAAATAACATGATGCCATTTGTTATTCCAGACAGGGAATAGTAATCATCACTTGCTTGTTGACCACTAAGCAAACTGACCACTATCATCATGTAAATACTGTTGAAGGTAGGGTCAAACTATATTACTGGCTCACTCGTGAGAATTCTATTTATTCAAAATTGTAAGTGTTTACAGAGGAATACCTTCATTTGTTTATCAGTATATAAAGGTGAGAGAGGTGCTGTATTTTGCTCAATCACTGAGCCTTCCTCATTCCCTCCCCTCCTCTTCCACCTCCACCTCCCCCTCCCCTCCCCTCCTTCAAAAATGGGCTCTTCCATGTCCCATTATCCAGTGGCAATATTTCTAAAACTAGCTTACTGGAAACCCTGTATGTTCCAGGTGCTTGATTTCCAAGTCTACAAATATTTATAACAAGACCTGTACAAAAATACCAGTACATGTATTATTGGTATGCATAAGTAATACCACAGGCATAATTAAACGTTCAGCATCCTGCTGATGTTGAAGCTCACAAGGCCACCATTTTGGTGAAGCTTGTATCAATTTATGGTCAGTATGCGAACATACATTAATATATTATGTGACATTATCATTGTATCAGATAATATTTTGCATATTGTACAGAATTTTCTATGTGATCGCTTGGTGCTGAAACAAGTCTACAGCTGCACCGTGGATGGAGAATGTGCAAGCATTATGATGTACAGAGACGTGTATAGGTCGTGTTACCATGGTTACAAGTTGTACTAGCAGTTGTACTATTATGCCGATTTGTACAGCGAATGTCCATTGTCTTTTTCTAAACTGTGTATAACCTTCACTGTCACCGACAGTTTATTTATGTAGGAGTATTTGATCAATTGGAGGTACTGAACACTTCGCAGAATAATTGTAGCTGATTTTGCTAGTACTCATAATCTGTCGTTTTGAAAGAATTTATTGAGAGTGTTTTTGCAGTAAGTTAACTGATAACGCTTCTCTTGCCAACTTTTATTGAGATCTAGACTGTTTTGATATTTTTTAATTATTTCTACCGTAGATCATAAGTTTTGGAGATAAGATTTTCCAAAAGACGCTGCATTTGTACATTTTATTTCTTTCATAAAAGTGCATTTAAAATTTTATGTTGTATACTCTCTAATTTAATGATTATTTTCACCTATAGCCAGAAGAAAACAAAATTCTAAATCGTGACCACCCTGTCATTATTTCATAGACTTTCATCTCAATCATAGTTGTCCATAATTTTGTACTATCCAGAGAATTCTGTCTTCAGTTTCTCAGTCTTTTGTGAAGTTAAGTTTTCTCTGTACAACATTCTTATTGTGTTTATTCAGGTATTCTTGTTCAATTTCCGTTTGTAAATGGTTGTGAGAGATTTCTACCCATGAGTCATTCTGTCCTGTTTGTCTCTGAGTTGTATGCACTTATGTCAGTTTTCTTGACTGGGATTCATAATTCCTTTGTCCGATATTATGTGTGTGAGTTTATGGTTATCCATAACTTAATCTCTGTCAGAGGCTTCAACATATATGCAATTTTGAATTCCTCAGAGATTGAGAAATTTGAAGCATTTTCAGTCATTTTTGTCAGTAGGCATACCGTATATCGCTGTGTATAAGGCGACCCCACGTATAAGACGACCCCCCTGTACACGCCTTAAAAATCAACCCAAAATCCTATACTCCGTGTATAAGGCGACCGGGAATGAAACACATCACAAGTCTGACTGATATAGAAGATTTAACGTGCGCTTTCCGACTGTAGCGTATTTCGCACACGGACATCACAAGTTAGTTAGTTACTTTGGAGATTTAACGTGCGCTTTCCGACTGATGCGTATTTCGCACACATCACAAGTGCGCACACAAACCTTATATATGCAATAAAAATATTTTTATCTTGCGTTGTTTTTTTTTCTACAATGATAGGTCGCGTGTGTAACTCCAGCACACGTCGCCATTTTGTGTTTACACGGTACGACACCAAATTGGTGCCCGTAAAATAAAATTCATTTATGAAGTAATAACATATAAGAGACAATGGTGAGTAATTTAATCGCCAATTAACTATGTTGTAACTAACTAGGCTTATGTTTGCTTCACATTCAGCGTGTTTATTCCACAATCACTTGTACACACCGTCTCCAACACTTGTTAATACAACTGTAAAAACAGCGGGAATTGATTTCAGCTTCACCGGTTATCACATGTTAGGTCACATGTGCAATATGCAAATGCTTACCGGTACTTCCGGCTCTCTGCTCACGGATGTTGATTGTTTTACCGTGTCAGGTGGTTTGACAATCTGCATCGAGGCGAGGGTCATTTCAACTTTATTAGCAGAAATTATTAAACTTTATTCAAGGAAAAGAGATACAAATCATGTTTATGTATGGAAATAGTTATTGGAACAGTTATTTAGGACGAAATGCGAAGTTTTATTGTCAAATGCTGGGCTGGCTATCGGACGCCGGTTGACATCGCCAGTGGAAAAAAATGTGAGATCTTTGACTCCGTGTATAAGACGACCCCCCTTCTTAGCCCCCTCATTTTAGGTACGAAAAACTCGCCTTATACACAGCGATATACGGTAACTGTTGTCAGGTAGGTCAAACATAGATATTCTTGCCTGTCCTAATTCTGAACCGTTAGCAATGTTTTAGGAATGGTAGCTTTGTCAGTAACAAGAGTCTTTAGGAAATCAATGTTAAATCCTAATACAGTACTAGGAAGTAGAATACTAATCAGTCAGTAACCTTTTCTGTATAAGTCATGCTTCATTCTTACATTTACAGTAAATTCTCTCAAAATAGGCTGGTATACCATCATTTGTATTGCTAGTATTTATACCAGTCAATATTAAAATTTAATGACAAAGAAACCGTAAATGTGTGACAGCTTGAAGATGTGTAGCATTATGATATCTTCCCTCGGCAATTTTGAGAAAATCAAAATATGCAGGCCATGAAAAAAGTATGTTTCTTGTCAGCTCATTCAAAGTCACCAGGACTTGTTTTCTCCTCAGTAGGCAGAAAGCTAATAATTCCAACATGTCAGCCAAATGAAGGCAATGTTTGGGCAATGAATTATTATGTATTTTTTAAATTAAATTTTTGTCACGCTTAGCAATATTCCAAGGAGAGATAATGTCAAAATTAGGGCAGTCTTCTCCAAACCTGTTATAAAACCAATTTCCCCTGGACAAAACAACAACAACAACAACAAAAAACGCCCTGATAACAAATTTTCACACAGCAGTTTGAAGATGGATGATGAGAAACATTTGAACTTTTCATGGCCTGTGCTTGTCTGAATGCATAATACATACGGTACAGAGTTGAAGCTAGATGTTGAAACTAACTGTCTATGTACAGTTTAGTCCATGTTAAATGGCTTTGTTTGGTCATGTGACTGGATTTTGTGATTTACATATCATATTCTCAAACCTGTTGATAAGATCAAGTATGTTGACATTTTAGCAAGAAATTTGTGGATTAAGTCACTGTACTGCAATACTATTGGTGATGTCATACCATCGACTCTGGCGTCCTCTCTGACACTGACAACTATGTTGACAATGGATCTGTGTTTATAAGGAATCTATGGTCGTCATGTGAAAGTTACAAAATAGAAATCAACCTAAACACTTTTGAATCCTCCCTTGTTTTTTTTTGTTTTTTTGTACCCTGTGACAAATGTGTTCTTTGTCAATAACTGTTTCTCTGGACCAAACAATTGCCCAAGGGAAGCGACAGAACTGCCAAAATGTACAGTCTGTGTTATTTCTGTACTGTCCAAATTGGTATTAATCCTAACTTCTCAGTTATCTCCCCTGTCACTCGCAATTTAAGCATTAAGCTGCATACTGACGAAGAACCTATTGTATTTCACAATCATTATATCGGATTGAGCCTTGAAGGGTGAAATGTTCACTCAGGATATTGGCCCCATTTTAAAAGGGAATCATAGAATATCCTAAGTCTTTGTTAAAATATAGTTTATCACATGTAAGGGATCATATGAATGTGCAGTTTCAATGTTATCTTGTTACCCATCAAATGCTCCAAGAAATTAATCATGTGAAATACAGAAGTTTTGTTTGAATGTCAGAATGATTGAAAACATTTCACACAAAAATACAAAATCAGGAATAATTTAAAATTGAAGACAAGGGTGAAAGTATGATATTCCTGATGTCTGCTCATCTGAATCAATGCTTGATGTTCAGTTTATTATATACTTTGGAACATAAGCGTTAAAAACATTTATAACATGTCTTTAAGAGATTTTTTTTATAATTTTCAGTATCATTGCATTTTATATGGCTTATAGGAAATGTTTTATATTATCATTTTGAATATATGTTTTAATTTAAAGGGTTGCATCTAAATTTTGACTTATCAAATGAAAGCAAGAGCATTAAGTTAAATGGTATCTGGCAACCACTTGTGTAGTAGTCTCTTTGTATTAAATATGTGGGTACTGCCAACTATTCTGAGCCTAGTTTAACCTGTATTGTTTAGTTTATAAAACCATGTTTATTAATTATCCAATTATGTGATCAGGAAATCCGATTTATGAGAAATGTATATGAATGATGGTAAATGGATGTTTGTTTTCAGCTGCTTTTAAGTTTATGAAAATCGATTGTTGTTTTTCATGAAGTATTGACTTACTTTTGTGAATTTTCTCTACACAGCTTGAAAAGTGCTACTCTTGCTTTTGACACCTGTCAAATATTTGTCATATTAATGTCAGATATAAGCTTTCGTTCTGAAAGTTGATTATACTTATTCAGTGAATGGAAAGAAATGTATGTATGGTATGACCTCATAATTATTGATATGCACATTCTGACTATGAGTATATAGACTGGCTCAAGTTTGATATTCAAACGCATTTTTAGAGCTTAAGTGTTTTCTCTTCCCAGAGTTGAGAAGATTAGGCTCAGTTGTTCCTACAGAACTGGGGCATGGGTGGCCCAGTCGTCTAAGGCGATTTGCTGTGCAGAGTTGCGTCCCTTGGGCACACCAGGAACCTATGACTGTTGGTTTGAATCCCGTTTCGCTTGATTATGTTTTTTGGTTTGTCAGCACCATACCCGTGTTCGTGGGTTTCACCAAAGTGGTAAACGTCTTAGACATGCATCACTTTGAGCTTTCCCCCAAATTAAGCTGACACGCCGTGATATAACTGGAATACTGTTAGAAGCGGCGTTAAACCCAACTCACTCACTCCTTCAGAACTACTAAATATATTTGGGTACTTTAGAAATACTAAACATATTTGTGTTCATATTTCTTGCAGACCAGTATCACTGATGTGCCCAAAGGGTATGTTTGTGAATGTTAAGACAATTCTACATACCGGTTATTGGATATACCTTCCAATGTCTAATGTGCTGTATATGCATTGTGTCAATATTCCACTGTGAATGTATTTGTAATCCTCCGATTTCATCCTCTTCTCAATATCTCTCATTATACTCGTAGTTGTATGTCTATTAATGGTAGTGCAGGTAGCCAGTGTTCTAAGACACTGCATTTCGTTGTGCAGAGTGACGCCCTTAGCCACCAGGATCTGCTGGTCATGGGTCCAAATCACAATTCACAAATCACATTTCGCCCTTATTATGATGATCCTTGGTTTGTCAGCACCATGTACGCATGTTTCACCAAAGTGGTAAACATCTACTATCAGCATGTCTGTGGGTATCATCCCTCATTAAGCTGACACGCTGTTATATGACTGAAAAACTGTTCAAAGTAGTAGGAAAATCATTCATAAAATTTTACATGGTTCATGTGTCAGCATCCGGTTGGCCATCATGACTGCATCTGGACCTATATGTGTAGGATAAAGGAAGTCTGAGGGTTTTTATGATATTTAAAACCCGCATCCACAGGATAAAGGTTTTAAATATCATAAAAACCTGAGGGGAAGTGTTTTATCTAACTTATTAACTGAAAAAAGGAACTTAAAACAACATTTATCAACATTTTTATGTTTCAAGATACTTTCCATGAACCTTAGGAAACAGGCGTAAAATATCTGTTGCTGACGTACGGTACTTGAAAAGACGTTCTTAAAAGCATTGAGATTTATCACCGCCTCTGTAGCCTCGTGGTTCACTCACTGGGCTCAAGATACAATGGTTGCCTGTTTAATCCTCGGGAATATAAAGAAAACATTTGTCATTGATTTTACATTTCATTACATTGTGTTCAAATGCAGAATAAATTTATCGCGAGAAACATTCATATGTGATAATCTTAATGGAAGTTGTATTGATAACATCCCAGGGATATTAAATAAAATGCTGGGAATATTAAATAAAATCCTGGGGATATTATAACATCCCTGTTTGAGATTTAATCCCACTGGAGAACAATAGGATGATGTCACTGGGGGTCTATAAGTCAAGAGCTTCTCCTTGGTTGTATTCTCTGTCTAGATTTCAAGCTTTGACAGGAATGTAGCCCCTGGCCTGTGCATCAACACTCCGGTCGATGTCAAAATGCAATTTGTTAATAGTTACTACCAGTACTTAAGTTGTTTGTCCTGGAAAAATGGAACTTGTAAAAAGTTGAATTAAGTTTGAGTAGTATTAGTAAATGTTAAGTTACTTTTAACAACTGTGCAAAAACTAGACATTGTCATTTTAAAAAAATAATCATGTCTTTAAAAAAAAAAATCATCATTCATTCACTCATTCTATCTTCTATCTGTAAATGTTAATCCAGGGTGTAGTTAATACCAGTGTTCAAAATAACTCAAACATAGTACCAGACGGACGAGTATCTCAACAGTCTCCGCAGCCAAGATTTCTAGAAAACTATTGAAGTCAGTATAAATAGTCTCACTGTAATCTTGCAAGGCAAGATGGAAATGACAAAGAATGGTTTGCAATACTGTTTATAAGGAATTCTAAACTGAAATTCTCCTAATTAATAGGCTGCCTAGAGATAACGGTCGGCAGCTATTTTGAACACTGGTCTTGGGCATGGAGCCTTGCAGTTGGAGCATGTATGAACACTATTGGAATTAGTCATCTATTACAGCCTCTTGTAACTTCGTCCTTGTATTGAGGAGATTTTCCCAACAGTTTGTGAAGTGTTCCACACAAGATAAAGGTCAAATCTTTGGTACATGGATCTATCAACCCTTTGAGGGGAGAGTGAACACGTTTTTTCAAGAGCCCATCATTTTAAAAACTGCTGACTACTTTGGAAAATGAAAAGAGAAAACTTTAAAAGTCTTCAATTCTTAAATGTGTTATTGTACTTTTGTTCCTGACCTGTAAGTGGCAAAAATATGAAGTAATATATTTGAGAAAACAAATATATCCAAATTGTCACAATATATTAAGGCGTTTTACAGTCCCCTCAATAAAGTGTACTATTTAGTGACGTGAAACTCATGCAAGCTTGTTGAATTTGTACTTAAATGACATCAGGCTTACTTGTTATAGGAGACAGTGTGTGGGCAGATTGGATATATATTGTGACGTAGCAGGGCTCTACTACATCTCGACCTTTTGCATCAACAGTCATGTTTTATGTGACGATTCTCATTTGCGAACAAGTTTGGAGTTTCAGATCTGTCCGGACACTTGTTAACTTAAGTTGTATTTTATAACCAGTTTCATAATGCCAACATTTTACATATATAGTTCCATCACCGTCAGTCAACATTTGTCACTGCAAGGCTGTCATGTTCTTAATGTTATCCTTACATCAGCAACTGGTATGTTATCAGTCTTCATATAAGACAAACACCTGTTAGTATGATCTAGATTTCATGCTTAGAATCCATACCTGACTGTAGAAGATGCAACCTGTAGCATGCATCATCATCAACTGTAGTGGCCAATATCATCTGTAGGAATCCATGTTCCAGTCCACACTTTCTGGAATATCATTATGTTGTTGATAGTTTTATTTTTGACACTGAATGTATGATTGTATAAGCTGGTCCCAGCAAGTTGTCAGGTTTATTGTTCTGTTTGTGACAGTAGACAAGCCAAGAGATGAACGAATTCTTAAAATCTATTTATTATGTACATACTGTAAACAAGTAGTTAACAAATGAAGAATAAATTTTTATTGCATTTATTTTGTGTGGACGTTGTCTTTTGAGTTATTCCCTATACACTGATGGATCCAGAGGGTGATGCACATCCTGGACTGAAGTCAGTGTAAGCTTTAGCTTATGTCATGGCCGTCAGTCTGTGAGCATCTCAGAAAGGACCAGACAAATGAAGCTGAAGCTTCTTCCCCATGAGAGCGATGGGCTAGCCTCGTGGTTAAAGCATTCACACTGAATGCACAGGTTTAACTGCCCACATGTGTACAGTGTGTGAAACCCATTTCTGGTGTCCCCTGCCGTGATATTGCTGGAATATTTGCTAAAAGCGGCATAAACCATGTTCACCCATTCACACTTGATGACACCCCTGACTATATGTTTCTGGGTTTGTCAGCAAAGGGTGCCAAATGAATAAAACTGAAAACTTTTTGTCAACAATTTATTCCCTCATAAACATCCACATGGTAAGATTTGATTACATGTTTTGTAGCATATTCCCAAGTTTCTAGCTCAACAGAACTATTTGCAGTCCTGCGCTATGCTAACAAATCTCAACAGCATAAACATATATGTACATAAATATCACTTTGGCAAGGGCCAAGGTCTCATTAATACTTTTCTGTATACAAGTATACTTCCATGGATTTACGTTGAAATGAAAAAAGAGTGCAATTTTGCCTATTTTGAGCAAAAAGACAACAGATGATAGAGGTAACACTTATCTCATCATCCAAATTGAGGCTAAGCCACGTTTCAAACACTAAAAGGAAATAAACTTTCCTTCCATTCTCCCAAACCCTGTATAAGGGAGATAACACTAAACAGAGCGACTGTGGCAAGTTGCCTTTCCATGGCCCAAGTTGCCTCTACAAACTGACTACGCCGCTTGAACCAGACATGACCCACCTGTGAGATTCACATTCACAAGAATGTACAAACCAGATATGAGATTTCCTAAGATCATAGAATAAGCATGGCTACAAATCATCATTAGTCAATGAGGAAAAATAGTATAAGGAAACAATTGGCAGTATTATATTAACGTGGATATGTTAAGTCCATAGAAAAAATGGAGTTATTTTACTGTTAAAATGTTGATATTCTCCTTTATTCTTATTATTTTGTTAATGGTAACAAACTACTTTGGCATCCAAAGGAGTGACATGAAAAAGCGACAAGCTTGCCAGGGTATGAAACTCCCAAAAATTTCAGCCAGACCACAGGACTGGCTAGCTGAAATACTTGCCAGCCCTGACCGAAACCTGCCTGCCCACTATAATCATATGTTTCTCAGGATAATTTAATTAAAAATATGAAAACTGATTGCTTGTAGCATAAGCGCATCGCTAAATGTTAGGTTGTCCAAAGATGTTTGTATATACGTCCGTGGGTTGTCTAAAAGCTAACAGGGTTTCTTTTTGGTTACATTTTATCATTCATCTTTACATGTGAATTAATGCTTATCATCGGGAAATATTTAGAATATTTTCACCTATGAAATATAACCCGACCGTCGGGCAGGGGGATTTGAAAATCTGGCAGCCCGAGTTGAAATCAACCCGTCTCGGACGGTCGGGCAGGCAGGTATTTCGAACGCTGAGCTTGCTCCAAAATGCATTTTTAGAACACTCATAGATGAAAAGTCTACCCCATAACTTGTCCATTATACGTCATTGCAATGAAGTTAAAAATGTTTGGAATATATGGATTGATTGATAAACAAATACTGGTTCTCGTTGGAGGCGATTTTGAGCATATTAAACATACATTAGACATGTGTGCATTCATAAGGCTGGACCTGCTGTGTATATGTCTGCACTAGAGAATTTTGATTAATGCCTGCATTATAAGTCACAAATTAAATGTTTGTTTCAGTGATCAGGTGACTGAATACCACGTCGAAGGATACTTCAATTCAAATATCTTTCTTTATGACGTCCCAGCACAAATGTATCCCCGCACTCGAAAGGTCAAAATAATTTCAAAGTCATTACAGAAATTCTGGGCAAAGCTTGGGTCAGGTGGGTCCTTAGAAGCCCCAGGTACCCACAGGACTACCCGAACCCGTGGTTAGTCACGTGATATATTGTTTGATGACAAAAACTCACTATAGCTCAGTGGTTACACCACAAGTCGCTAATGTTCGCATTTCTTTCTGACGATGCACACATTCCTTTTGACTTGAATATGTCTGTGTAAAGATAAAGCTTCAGTCAATTTCAGTGTACTGATCGTTTGATACATGTATCTAAATAGTTTTGGCTAGAGCTGCGAAAAAAACAATTTCCAATCAGACATTTTGTTCCCAACTGCAGTGGGTACCCGGGTAGGGCCAAGCAATAGGGGATCGGGTACCAGGGTATTAAATTTGGACTCGTCCCAGCAGTAGTCCTGGGTATGTGTTCATTATCTTGTCTCCTTGAAAACTTATCACCTAACGACTGTCCATCAACGGTCATTAAGGGACCGGTCATTTATGATGGGTGGGTCAGAGGTATTTTGATGCACTAATATACTGAAAATAACGACCCTTGCCTAATGCTTGTCATAGTTTGGGATGACCCTCCCCATGTTCTTGTCCTATTTAACCAATGACCCTCCCTGAAAAGACAAAATGCATAGGCACGTTATATTTCAAAAGAAAAATCAATACAGTAGAACACGGATATAGCGAACAAACGGATACAAAGAACTGTTAAACAATCCCCGATGTATCTCCCATATAGTGTAATATAAAATTTACGTATATAACGAACTCTCTACAGCGAACTAACGGATACAACGAACTGATATCTGATCACCGACAAGCCCATCTACCACTAATTAGTGACGTGTATAGTGAACTAAGAAATCTCACTCAGTGTGAAGTGTCACTGACAACTGGCTGTATGCAATCAGCGGTGATGGATCAACCTTGTTCAACTTAAATTAATGTTATGAAATGTTATTAATTGAATGCTATGAAGTGATCACTACTAATACAAGTCAATGCTGCAATTACGTGTATTGTGTTTTGTTTTATCCAAGATGGCGGCCGAGCGAAAACGTGTATAACGAACCACAGATATAACAAACTGATTTTTCTGGTCCCTTGTAGTTCGTTATATCCATTTTCTACTATATTTATTTTTATTTATTTTAATACCCTCACAAGATATGGCTATCATGTTTTAGGACCCTCCTCTATAGACTGTCATATATTTTGGTGACCCTCCCCTGATTCCCACTGACCAACCTACCCCTATAATTAATGACCGGTCCCTCTGCAGCATTGATTTGTACACTTCTATAAGAATTATTACCCTCAGCAAGATGGATAAAGAAACACACATGCTTTCTAATAAAAGACTCATACTCATAAGAACCCAGAGCATGAAGTGTATGGAGGCAGTCAAATAAGGTAAAAAACACCCAATAAAATCATCAAAAGCAAATTCAAAATAGTTGATATTTCTGATAAATCTCTGTATGGATATCAAATATATTTTAATATGTTATACAACTATCAACAACATTGTCATACAGCAACAGCTCTCTACAAAATCTAGTTTCTACAAAACCAACATTCAAACGTCATGAATACTGTAAAGTTTCGTATACACTATGTTCCTCAATCTCCCATGAATACATACAGCTGACTTGCAATGTAGTCACTATTTTTAACCAACATCTCAAGCAAGCAATAGAAATTGGCACTAGTCTGGTTCAAAACACAAGGGTTGTATTGCAATACATGCATTGCTGACAGCCATATTGGTATACCTGTTATATCAAGCACCCCTAAGTCCTGTCGACCTCACCAAACTGACCAATAGTTAATGTATCATAAGGACTATTAGAATTTTGCCATTTTAAGGGTTTTGCTACATGTCATTATAAGGACTAGTGGATTATCGCTGAAACACTGCCAGTTTTTCCGAGAGAGTAACGAACAAGAGCTGAGACAAATGAACGCTCAGATTACACCACAAAACAGCAATATTTCACATGCAATACGTCCCATAATGTTGCAGCCATCTATTCTACATGTTGTATATCATGACATGGTTTGGTTTGCACAAGGTTCATGCACAGAGTAGGTCTCATTTGAGTGATAAATGGCCTTATTTGAGTAGCTGAAAAAAGAGAGCCACATGTCACTACTACCTACACAGCAAATCGGTTGTATGTATTCACTGGTGATGTGTATACCAAACCCACGATGTACTGACAATGTTCAACATGAGACAGTGTACGATGCACCCCCAAGATCACATCAATAATTCTATGAACAATGATGACTGACCAAAATATACATTTCCCGAAACTAATGTTTCTACTCAATGTGAGTGTTGTCAATGTAATGATTTTTAAATACATGACACTTCTTTTATTCATTGTACAATGTTTCAGAGCTACTTCTTGTCCCTTTATCAGGTACATGCAGTTAACATATGTACACAAGGTAGGCTTCTCTTCTGTTAATTTCATTGTCTTCATCATTATATTGACATCTTTGTACATTAATCCTACATTGTGTAAACATATCATAATGTATATATATTAACTCCATGTAAGTACTCAGTGTACACCTGATGAAAGGACCTGTGAAGATCCGGGGTAGAATAGGTCTTCAGCAACCGATGCTTGCCGTAAAAGGTGACTATGCTTGCCGCAAGAGGTGACTAACAGCATCGTGTGGTCAGGCTCGCTGACTTGGTTGATGAATATCACTGATCCCAATTGTGTGAATCGATGCTCATGATGTCAATCACTGGATTGTCTGGTCCAGGCTCGATTTACAGACCGCCGTCATATTGCTGGAATATTGCTATTTAACAACAAACAAACACCTGATGAAAGGGCAAGAAGTAGGGCTGAAACACTGTTACAAACAATAAAAGAGATGGTTTCATTTATAGATGAATTCATATGATCACAGTTACTTTTGTCTTTAAGTATACTCATATACATGGCCCAGAAAAAAACAAAACTTGAATGAATAAAAAGAATCCCCTTGGTATGTCCGAGTATCTAGCTTCAGAGATCTTTCCCTTCGCTTCAGCCTGTCATGTAAGTTATCAACAGGACCTTCATCTTTGTCCCTCTTACTAATGATAATTTTCATGATAATGAAACAGTTCATGATAAGATGGAAACCGGTAATTTGAATGGATTTCAAACACAAATATAGTGTATCCACTAGAGTATTGCCGACATCTAGTCAGTCTCCTCAGCATAGAACAAAACTATTCATTGAGACTGTAATGTCTAAGATCAAACTTGAATAGTTTTTGTTTGTGTTTTCTGTTCAGCTGCGTTATTGCTGGATTGGGGAGGTTTTTGGCCAAAGGTCACATAGGAGTACAGCAAACTGCCAAGTATACTGAAATGAAGATCAAAACAACTTATTTAATATAAACACATGACTTTACGTATGGTCAAATAAAGAAAAGATCCTATACATGGTCTTTGTATAACATGGTAACTCTCCATTGGTAACAACATTCAGAAATTGTTGGTCAGGTTCAATTAAGAAAGATGAAAACAATTGCAAAAACTGTAGCAGCCACTTCACTGCCATTTCTAGAAGGTCCCCGATATCATTATATATCCAGTGTTAGATACTGGCACTAGTCCTGAAGTCCTTGCCAAATTGCCCAATAGGGGAGGTATCATAAGGACAAGTAGAATTGTGCCCTTTTTAAGGGTTTTGCTATATCTTATCACTATAAGGACTAGTGGACTGAAACTGTTAGTTTCTACTGCTGATTTCACAACGCACTTCCAGTGTAATATTTGCAGTTGGTGAAATACATGCCTACTGCAACCTCAACATGATAAAAGTACCTTGCCTCCAGCTAACATATTGAAGAGTGTGATAAAGCTCAACTCTAATGACATCACTTCCAGTCTAATGACATCACCTTCTGTCTAATGACATCACTTCCAGTTCAATGACATCACTTCCAGTCTAATGACATCACTTCCAGTCTAATGAAATCACCTTCTGTCTAATGACATCACTTCCAGTCTAATGACATCACTTCCAGTTCAATGACATCACTTTTAGTCTAATGACATCACTTTTAGTCTAATGACATCACTTTCAGTCTAATGACATCCCTTCCAGTCCAATCACACCACTTCCAGTCCAATGACATCACTTTCAGTCTGATGACATCACTTTTGAGTCAGATGTCATCACTTTTAGTATAAAGACATGTCATAGCAGTAAAAATTACAGTAAAGGTACAGTCCTATTCATATAGCAGCTACCTTAATAAAGAAGATACATTTCATACGAGAATTTGAAACAGAAAGTCCTCAAACCGCCAAACACATTTCATGGACCAACCGCAAATATCTCTTGAGTTTTTTTGTTTAAACAATTAAATTTCAATGGAGACATTGGCTAACCGAGCCCACTCTCCCAACCCACACAAAAATAATAAAAGCGTATATATATTATACACCTTGATATGTAATCTTGAATACTCACCTAATATTCATTCCAGCAAAGTTTGATAAGCTAAATATATAATCTCCTCCAATAAACATGCCAACATAGGTCACTGTTGTATTCTGAAACAAAACAGATATAGTGAATGATATATCATAATGCAGTTATCATTGGAGTGGAATGTTGCAGATTGGAGTGGAGCAGTGAGCGGCATGGCGGGTTGGAGTAAGGCGTGGCATGGCGTGGTGTGGCACGCTGCATGGTGGAGTGAGGCAAATCAGATCGAGATGTTGTGTTGTGGTGCATGGAGTGGAGTGGAGTGGAGTGGAGTGGAGTGGAGTGGAGGTTTTGTGGCTTAGTTTGGCGTGGTGTGTGGTGTGGCAGAGTGGAGTGAGGCGGATTAGAGTGGAGATGTTCTATTGTGTTATGTGGAGTGAGTGAGTGAGTGAAATTTTACCCCACTTTTAGCAATATTCCAGCAATATCACGGCAGGGGACACCACAAATGGGCTTCACACATTGTACCCATATCGGGAATCAAACCCGGGTCTTCGGCGTGACGAGCAAACGCTTTAACCACTAGGCTACCCGACCGCCCCTGTGTTATGTTGAGGTCTGGAGTGGTGCTTGGCATGGTTTAGCGTATTGGGAGTTGAGTGGAGTGGAGTGGAGCAGTGTGTGGCTTCATAGTTTGTGCTGTGGTCGTGGAGTGGATTATAAAGCTGAGAGCAGCAGCGAGTCTTCTGGTTGTCTTGAGGAGTCTTCAGGTTAAGGGGTTCGTTTCTCATGTTTCATTCCTAACATGGATAAAACAAAAATTTTACCCTCTTCCATAGTTCTGGAATATAGCTAAAAACGGCACAAAACCCAACTAGCCCAATGACTGTATACAGAAATACAACTCACCTTTAAAACTCCAACGACGGTGGTCGTGAGCGCTGAGTTACATGCAGTACACAGTATGATGGAATAGTTGAGGATGAAGCCCATGAAGCAGGACAAAAGGAACTGGCCAAGGAACACGGGGTTGAACCACTCCTTGAATAATACAGCCTGCAAGCAACAAACACACGATGCTACATACCGGTACAAACAGTGGAGCCACATCACTATTTGTCATTTACACGATAAGCTGAGATGATTTGTATTTCTTAAAATAAAATCTCGGAAGCTTTGGAGCTTATGATTGTAAAAAACAAATTACTTAAGTAAAGTAATTCCATTTTTTCACCATGTGTTCACTATTGTCAATATCATACCAAATACTACTGCAAATGGCAATACCTATGCTTTCAAACACGTCAAAGTCTGAGAAGGGAATGAATTCAAGAAAAGTCAAGAAAATTTTGAGCCAGACACAAAATTATGGAAGATATCAAAATTAATGCCACAACTTGTTTTATCTGCCTAACAATATCATATATTATTATTTGACCTCCATCATAATGCAAAATTAGTAAAATCTAACTATTTTTTACATTTGTATACTTATCCTGCATTACTCCTTACAGCATTCACTGCTTACCCTACGACAACAAAAAGACAGGGCACGGCGATGGTCTTCAGAGAAGAAATAAAGTTGTTTCACATTCCACTCCCTTGCTTTTATACAGACCATCGCTATTTGTCATGTGACCTTGATGACAAGTCACCTTCCTCACATCACTGCCTGTCGCCTGAGCTTAAAAACATACTATTGAGGTTTCTGAAGCCAAAGTGAGGAGGCAAATCTGCGACGGGTTGATCCTTAAACGTAGTAATGCAGGATACGTATACAAATGTAAAAAATAGTTAAATTTTACTAAATTTTTTACTTATTCTGCATTACTTCTTAATGCATCTGTATTGGACGGTTTGGAGGTGGGAAACCTTCAGAAAGTCCCAAACCTCAATAATTGACACCCCAAAACAACGCCACATGTTTGTCAATAATCTGTGAGGCGGAAAAAGCTCAGAAAAAATGTCATTACGGTAGGGTCGTTCAATCTTCTTACAGAAGGAACATTGGAATTAAAGGGTAGATCCCTATACATATTTAGTTATAAAGAAATACTAGCTAAACAGCTAATTCTTTACATGCTATGTCATTGAGCCAAAGCCTGGTTAAAAAGCTTGTCTAATTTACTTTCACTGGCCGAGTCTCAGCGACTTGCGCAGGAAGTAGACTGGCTCTGTGTAGGGTGAGTTCATTATTTGCATCAAGGGTTGGTCCAGCCTGCTGGGCTACTACCAGAGGGCCAAAACTTCACACGCCAGAGAAGTCCTCGAGAGCCACATTGTGAAGATAATGACTAGAGAAAACTGTGTCGGACCTCCAAAAACATCCTTCCATGATCGTTGTAATAGAGCAGTTACTATGTAACGCACTGAACCCGAGAGGATTATTCGCTCTCGGCCAATCAAGTTTGGCGAACTCATAAGCCTGAATGATGACTGCGCGTAACCATAGAGATATGGTGCTGCAATTAACTTCAGTCATGGACATAGGAGATACGAGTATAATAACTGTTTCCTCGAGCCACGCCTAGTTTTGGAACGGCGGATGTAAACTCGAAGTGCTCACACCGGGCACAGGAGAAGTTCACCCGCATCTTCGACTCCCACAATAGTCGATATTGGTGGGATGGTGAAGAAACGATCAGGTTGGCCTGGTAATTGATTTTTTGCTATAAACTCCAAGCACAACCAGAGATGTACCGCTCTGTGCATACCATGCTCAAAACGGACACTGGGGATGTCAATTGCATGTAGCTTGCTTAGCCTGTGCCACTGTGGCTAATGCCAAAAGAAAAATTGTTTTCTTGGTGAGGTCATAAAATGAGGATGCATAGAGGGGCTCGAAGGGGGGTCCTCGCAAAGCTTGAAGTACCATATTCAAGTCCGAAGCAGGGGGATGGACCTTGGCCTTCTGATCCTCAAGTCTGAATGAGCGTAGTAGGGCCAGTAGTTCTGGGACCTTGGTCATTTTGCGATTTTCCGGAACCACAAACACTGAGTTAAGTGCCTTGCAAAACTCTCAAACGATCCCTACTTGTCATCGTATTATCCTCTGGTAGAGAGACGATGAGCAAAAACTATTGCTTTAGTTGCCCGTGCCGAATAGCCCTTTGCACTTAACGCCTTTTCAAGACGAACCAAGCGTGCAGACAAAACCTGTTTAGCTTTGGGTGAGGCAATATGCTGTGAGGGTGGATGAGTAGGCTGGACCAATGTTGGGTCATCTTCTGCTAGACTTCTGTGCTGGACGAACCACCCTCTTGCCGGCCGCCAGGGCGCGACCAAAGTCAGAGCAAGATTCCTTGTCTCCTTGATCTTTTGTATCACCTTGGGAAGAAGAATAGGTGGCGGAAAAGCAACGAGTGCTGACAAAGGTTTCAGTACACGTCGGATTTCCTAATCTATGAAGGCAAATCTGGTATCTGGTACCTTGAGCGTCGTTGGCCTTGAAGAGCCTATCATCCTTTGTATGTCCTCATCAAAACTATGAGCTTGGTCTGCGACTGCAAACGCATGGATAGGAAGATCATCCTTCCTAAACTTGGGTGGCTTAAATGACGGAGCAAGTGTGAGCTGGGAGAAGTCCTCATCCAATGACCTAATCATGTCTGTCAACATCAGATCCATGGGAATTGATGTAGGATGTGACCATATGGTGTCCCTTTCATCCACCCTGTTACCAGGGGAGGGCGCCACTGACATAAGACGGTCCAATCGGGTACTTGCGCTTAGCTGAGATGCGTATTCCATTCCACAGAGGAATCCCCATCCTCCAACGAGTCAGAGTGATGTTCACGCACTCACCTAGACGACGATCGGCTTCTGCTCCAAGGCGTAGCGCCTCCTCTATCAGAAGACTTTGATGACCCGCCTGGTGATAAGGAGACATGTGCCTATGTCCACGTAGCTGGCATACTAGCGCTGCCCAGCGATACATGCGCTGTACTAGAACGCACATCAAGCGTTTGGTATATGTTAGGCGCCGGTGTAGGCCCTTACACTTGTGCCATAGTTGTAGCTGACGCAGGCGCCTGGAACATAGGGGAAAGGTGTAGGCGCAGGTTACAGGTGTGCATAGACTGCTGACACATGGACTGCATAAAGTTTTGCATCCAATCAGTGTTCTGGAACATCTGAAATCATTGTGCCTGAGCGTACATCTGCTGCACTGGATAAGGTGTTGGAACAGTGCTAAGCGGATCATGCGTCGCCTGCGTAACAGGGTACGCTGTAAGCCCTGGGGTTGAAGTAATTGTAGAGGCGCTTGGGTGGTAGGCAGGCGCTGTACTCAGCGCAGGCCTATAGACGCAATGCTGATCAGTGATGACTGGATCATGGCTTGCGCCTTTGCTTACCCCCCAAAAAGGTGTCTGTGATGCATGCGCTGGCGAAGCAGGACTGGCATCGTAGTACTGGTTGTCCTAGGTGCCTGAAAATTAGGAACGTGCGATACTCACAATAGCCTCCGGTACTGTTGATATCGGCGGAGGATGAACGTCTGCAGTCACAATGATAGAAGGTATATTACCCACCAATGACAGAAGAATGTTCGTCTCTATCCTCTAGCGATTGTGACATCTTCCTCGCCACTTGCTTGCGTACTTGCCAAACAATGTGGATGAGGCTCCTTGGAAGATTTCTTTCCACGACAATAAGTACAACGCGCTGGCATAAGTTATGCAAAATAGAGAATTGTTGATGAGACAGAGTTGGAAGATTGCCATAGAATTAAACAATATTCTATCGGCAGATTTTTTTACGAGTTGAAAGTGTATACAAATATTGATACACATAAACTCTATGTGACGCCAAAGCTACTACTATTTAAAAACACATGAATAAATTATACATACGTAGCTGAGAATTGTAAACAATTTGACTACCCTTGCAAGGCAAACAATTGTTACACAAATGCAAAATGGCGGGAAACAACGAGCATGTGGAGGGAAAAAAAGACAAAGCCTTTTTATGCCTAAATAACCCCAAAAAATACACAACTTAGTGAAAGTAATATGAAGAGAACACATCACCCATCGCAGATAAAATTTAGAATTATATCCGAAGCTGAAGGTCTAAAATTATCCAATTTAAAGGGCTCTGCTGAGATACCTCCTTGCTGTAGCCCGACAGGCAGTGATGTGAGGAAGGTGACTTGTCATCAAGGTCACATGACAGCGGCGATAGTCCATATAAAAGCAAGGGAGTGGAATGTGAAACAACTTTATTTCTTCACCCAAGACCATCGCCATTTCGCTTTCTTTTTGTTGTTGTAAGGTAAGCAGTGAATGCATTAACGAGTAATGCAGGATAAGTAAAAAATTAGAAATAATTGCACATAAAAATCAACCAACCTTCTCAATTTCTCCATTATACTCAGCTAATAATAATGCAGGAAAAACCATGAAGAGTGAGTTGTAGTATAGCACACCATATTTACCCAGTTCCTGGAAAAAAAATAATTAGCGATTAGTCACATTCAAACACAATGACCAGATTTACACCTGGCCTTACGATACGCCACAAACTTACTCCTGACTACACAATACATGATACCCCACAAACGTACTCCTGACTACACAATACACGATACCCCACAAACTTACTCCTGAATACACAATACACGATACCCCACAAACTTACTCCTGACTACACAATACATGATACGCCACAAACTTACTCCTGACTACACAATACACGATACCCACAAACGTACTCCTGACTACACAATACACGATACCCTACAAACTTACTCCTGACTACACAATACACGATACCCTACAAACTTACTCCTGACTACAAAATGCAAGATGCCCACAAACTTACTCCTGACTACACAATACACAATACCCCACAAACTTACTCCTGACTACACAATACACGATACCCCACAAACTTACTCCTGACTATACAATACACAATACCCCACAAACTTACTCCTGACTACACAATACACGATACCCACAAAAACTTACTCGTGACTACACAATACACGATACACCACAAGCTTTCTACACAATACACGATACCCCACAAACTTACTCCTGACTACACAATACACAATACCCCACAAACTTACTCCTGACTACACAATACACGATACCCCACAAACTTACTCCTGGCTACACAATAAACGATACCCCACAAACTTACTCCTAACTACACAATACAAGATACCCCACAAACTTACTCCTGACAACACAATGCACGATACCCCACAAACTTACTCCTGACTACACAATACATGATACCCCACAAACTTACTCCTGACTACACAATACATGATACCCCACAAACTTACTCCTAACTACACAATGCACGATACGCCACAAACTTACTCCTGACTACACAATACACGATACCCCACAAACTTACTCCTGACTACACAATACATGATACCCCACAAACTTACTCCTGACTACACAATGCACGATACCCACAAACGTACTCCTGACTACACAATGCACGATACCCACAAACTTACTCCTGACTACACAATACACGATACGCCATAAATTTACTCCTGACTACACAATACACGATACGCCACAAATTTACTCCTAACTACACAATACATGATACCCCACAAGTTTACTCCTGACTACACAATACACGATACCCCACAAACTTACTCCTGACTACACAATACACGATACCCCACAAACTTACTCCTGACTACACAATACACGATACACCACAAATTTACTCCTGACTACACAATGCACGATACTCCACAAACTTACTCCTACTACACAATACACGATACCCCACAAACTTACTCCTGACTACACAATACACGATACCCCACAAACTTACTCCTGACTACACAATTCATGATACCCCACAAACTTACTCCTGACTACACAATACACGATACCCTACAAACTTACTCCTGACTACACAATACACGATACCCTACAAACTTACTCCTGACTACACAATACACAATACCCACAAAAACTTACTCGTGACTACACAATACACGATACACCACAAGCTTTCTACACAATACACGATACCCCACAAACTTACTCCTGACTACACAATACACAATACCCCACAAACTTACTCCTGACTACACAATACACGATACCCCACAAACTTACTCCTGACTACACAATAAACGATACTCCACAAACTTACTCCTAACTACACAATACAAGATACCCCACAAACTTACTCCTGACTACACAATGCACGATACCCCACAAACTTACTCCTGACTACACAATACATGATACCCCACAAACTTACTCCTGACTACACAATACACGATACCCCACAAACTTACTCCTAACTACACAATACATGATACCCCACAAACTTACTCCTAACTACACAATACATGATACCCCACAAACTTACTCCTGACTACACAATGCACGATACCCACAAACTTACTCCTGACTACACAATACACGATACGCCATAAATTTACTCCTGACTACACAATACACGATACGCCACAAATTTACCCCTGACTACACAATACATGATACCCCACAAATTTACTCCTGACAACACAATACACGATACCCCACAAACTTACTCCTGACTACACAATACACGATACCCCACAAACTTACTCCTGACTACACAATTCACGATACACCACAAATTTACTCCTGACTACACAATACACGATACGCCACAAACTTACTCCTGACTACACAATACACAATACCCCACAAACTTACTCCTGACTACACAATACACGATACCCCACAAATTTACTCCTGACTACACAATGCACGATACCCCACAAACTTACTCCTACTACACAATACACGATACCCCACAAACTTACTCCTGACTACACAATACACGATACCCCACAAACTTACTCCTGACTACACAATACATGATACCCCACAAACTTACTCCTGACTACACAATACACGATACCCCACAAACTTACTCCTAACTACACAATACATGATACCCCACAAACTTACTCCTGACTACACAATACACGATACGCCACAAATTTACTCCTCACTACACAATACACGATACGCCACAAATTTACTCCTGACTACACAATACACGATACCCCACAAATTTACTCCTGACTACACAATACACGATACCCCACAAACTTACTCCTGACTACACAATACACGATACCCCACAAACTTACTCCTGACTACACAATACACGATACGCCACAAATTTACTCCTGACTACACAATGCACGATACCCCACAAACTTACTCCTAACTACACAATACACGATACCCCACAAACTTACTCCTGACTACACAATACACGATACCCCACAAACTTACTCCTGACTACACAATACACGATACCCCACAAACTAACTCCTGACTACACAATACATGATACCCCACAAACTTACTCCTGACTACACAATACACGATACGCCACAAATTTACTCCTGACTACACAATACACGATACGCCACAAACTTACTCCTGACTACACAATACACGATACACCACAAATTTACTCCTGACTACACAATACACGATACGCCACAAATTTACTCCTGACTACACAATACACGATACCCACAAAAACTTACTCGTGACTACACAATACACGATACACCACAAGCTTTCTACACAATACACGATACCCCACAAACTTACTCCTGACTACACAATACACAATACCCCACAAACTTACTCCTGACTACACAATACACGATACCCCACAAACTTACTCCTGGCTACACAATAAACGATACCCCACAAACTTACTCCTAACTACACAATACAAGATACCCCACAAACTTACTCCTGACAACACAATGCACGATACCCCACAAACTTACTCCTGACTACACAATACACGATACCCCACAAACTTACTCCTGACTACACAATACATGATACCCCACAAACTTACTCCTAACTACACAATGCACGATACCCCACAAACTTACTCCTGACTACACAATACACGATACCCCACAAACTTACTCCTGACTACACAATACACGATACCCCACAAACTTACTCCTGACTACACAATGCACGATACCCACAAACGTACTCCTGACTACACAATGCACGATACCCACAAACTTACTCCTGACTACACAATACACGATACGCCATAAATTTACTCCTGACTACACAATACACGATACGCCACAAATTTACTCCTAACTACACAATACATGATACCCCACAAGTTTACTCCTGACTACACAATACACGATACCCCACAAACTTACTCCTGACTACACAATACACGATACCCCACAAACTTACTCCTGACTACACGATACACGATACACCACAAATTTACTCCTGACTACACAATGCACGATACTCCACAAACTTACTCCTACTACACAATACACGATACCCCACAAACTTACTCCTGACTACACAATACACGATACCCCACAAACTTACTCCTGACTACACAATTCATGATACCCCACAAACTTACTCCTGACTACACAATACACGATACCCTACAAACTTACTCCTGACTACACAATACACGATACCCTACAAACTTACTCCTGACTACACAATACACAATACCCACAAAAACTTACTCGTGACTACACAATACACGATACACCACAAGCTTTCTACACAATACACGATACCCCACAAACTTACTCCTGACTACACAATACACAATACCCCACAAACTTACTCCTGACTACACAATACACGATACCCCACAAACTTACTCCTGACTACACAATAAACGATACTCCACAAACTTACTCCTAACTACACAATACAAGATACCCCACAAACTTACTCCTGACTACACAATGCACGATACCCCACAAACTTACTCCTGACTACACAATACATGATACCCCACAAACTTACTCCTGACTACACAATACACGATACCCCACAAACTTACTCCTAACTACACAATACATGATACCCCACAAACTTACTCCTAACTACACAATACATGATACCCCACAAACTTACTCCTGACTACACAATGCACGATACCCACAAACTTACTCCTGACTACACAATACACGATACGCCATAAATTTACTCCTGACTACACAATACACGATACGCCACAAATTTACTCCTGACTACACAATACATGATACCCCACAAATTTACTCCTGACAACACAATACACGATACCCCACAAACTTACTCCTGACTACACAATACACGATACCCCACAAACTTACTCCTGACTACACAATTCACGATACACCACAAATTTACTCCTGACTACACAATACACGATACGCCACAAACTTACTCCTGACTACACAATACACAATACCCCACAAACTTACTCCTGACTACACAATACACGATACCCCACAAATTTACTCCTGACTACACAATGCACGATACCCCACAAACTTACTCCTACTACACAATACACGATACCCCACAAACTTACTCCTGACTACACAATACACGATACCCCACAAACTTACTCCTGACTACACAATACATGATACCCCACA